CCCTCCTGTTGCTCCTGTTGCTGCTGCTGCTCTTCCTCCCGAGGCTGAAAACGCACCCTCCCGGACAGGGAAACACAGGGGCCCCGAAGGACGGAACAGCGCCAAAATCGAGCCCAAAAAGTCCCTAACGTCCCTTCTGAAACCCTAGAAAAACAATAGTTTTGAACAAGGTTTTATGGTTTTCGACAAATTTTTATACCATTGTTTGTACAATGAGACATAGAACCCTCCTGTTGCTCCTGTTGCTGCTGCTGCTCTTCCTCCCGAGGCTGAAAACGCACCCTCCCGGACAGGGAAACACAGTGGCTCTGAAGGACGGAACAGCGCCAAAATCGAACCCAAAAAGTCCCTAACGTCCCTTCTGAAACCCTAGAAAAACAATAGTTTTGGACAAGGTTTTATGGTTTTCGACCAATTTTTATTATACCACTGTTTCGACCAATTTTTATACCACTGTTTGTACAATGAGACATAGAACCCTCCTGTTGCTCCTGTTGCTGCTGCTGCTCTTCCTCCCGAGGCTGAAAACGCATCCTCCCGGACAGGGAAACACAGTGGCCCTGAAGGACGGAACAGCGCCAAAATCGAGCCCAAAAAGTCCCTAACGTCCCTTCTGAAACTATAGAAAAGCAATAGTTTTGGATAAGGTTTTATGGTTTTCGACCAATTTTTATACCACTGTTTGTACAATGAAACATACAACCCTCCTGTTGCTCCTGTTGCTGCTGCTGCTCTTCCTCCCGAGGCTGAAAACGCATCCTCCCGGACAGGGAAACACAGTGGCCCTGAAGGACGGAACAGCGCCAAAATCGAGCCCAAAAAGTCCCTAACGTCCCTTCTGAAACCTTAGAAAAACAATAGTTTTGGACAAGGTTGTATGGTTTTCGACCATTTTTTTTTTTTAATACCACTGTTTGTACAATGAGACATACAACCCTCCTGTTGCTCCTGTTGCTGCTGCTGCTCTTCCTCCCGAGGCTGAAAACGCACCCTCCCGGACAGGCAAACACAGTGGCCCTGAAGGACGGAACAGCGCCAAAATCGAGCCCCAAAAGTCCCTAACGTCAACAATAGTTTTGGACAAGGTTTTATGGTTTTCGACCAATTTTTATACCACTGTTTGTACAATGAGACATACAACCCTCCGTTGCTCCTGTTGCTGCTGCTGCTCTTCCTCCCGAGGCTGAAACGCACCCTCCCGGACAGGGAAACACAGTGGCCCTGAAGGACGGAACAGCGCCAAAATCGAGCCCAAAAAGTCCCTAACGTCCCTTCTGAAACCCTAGAAAAACAATAGTTTTGGACAAGGTTTTATGGTTTTCGACCAATTTTTTTTTTATTTTTTTTTAAACCACTGTTTGTACAATGAGACATACAACCCTCCTGTTGCTCCTGTTGCTGCCGCTGCTCTTCCTCCCGAGGCTGAAAACGCACCCTCCCGGACAGGGAAACACAGTGGCCCTGAAGGACGGAACAGCGCCAAAATCGAGCCCAAAAAGTCCCTAACGTCCCTTCTGAAACCCTAGAAAAACAATAGTAGTTTTGGACAAGGTTTTATGGTTTTCGACAAATTTTTATACCACTGTTTGTACAATGAGACATACAACCCTCCTGTTTTGGACAAGGTTGTATGGTTTTCGACCAATTTTTTTTATTTTTTTTAAATACCACTGTTTGTACAATGAGACATACAAACGTCCCGTTGCTCCTGTTGCTGCTGCTGCTCTTCCTCCCGAGGCTGAAAACGCACCCTCCCGGACAGGGAAACACAGTGGCCCTGAAGGACGGAACAGCGCCAAAATCGAGCCCAAAAACTGCCTAACGTCCCTTCTGAAACCATAGAAAAACAATAGTTTTGGACAAGGTTTTATGGTTTTCGACCAATTTTTATACCACTGTTTGTACAATGAGACATAGAACCCTCCTGCTGCTCCTGTTGCTGCTGCTGCTCTTCCTCCCGAGGCTGAAAACGCACCCTCCCGGATGGGGAAACACAGTGGCCCTGAAGGACGGAAGAGCGCCAAAATCGAGCCCAAAAAGTGCCTAACGTCCCTTCTGAAACCCTAGAAAAACAATAGTTTTGGACAAGGTTTTATAGTTTTCAAGCAATTTTTATACCACTGTTTGTACAATGAGACATAGAACCCTCCTGTTGCTCCTGTTGCTGCTGCTGCTCTTCCTCCCGAGGCTGAAAACGCACCCTCCCGGACAGGGAAACACAGTGGCCCTGAAGGACGGAACAGCGCCAAAATCGAGCCCAAAAAGTCCCTAACGTCCCTTCTGAAACCTTAGAAAAACAATAGTTTTGGACAAGGTTGTATGGTTTTCGACCAATTTTTTTTATTTTTTTTATACCACTGTTTGTACAATGAGACATACAACCCTCCTGTTGCTCCTGTTGCTGCTGCTGCTCTTCCTCCCGAGGCTGAAAACGCACCCTCCCGGACAGGGAAACACAGTGGCCCTGAAGGACGGAACAGCGCCAAAATCGAGCCCAAAAAGTCCCTAACGTCCCTTCTGAAACCCTAGAAAAACAATAGTTTTGGACAAGGTTTTATGTTTCGACCAATTTTTATACCACTGTTTGTACAATGAGACATACAACCCTCCTGTTGCTCCTGTTGCTGCTGCTGCTCTTCCTCCCGAGGCTGAAAACGCATCCTCCCGGACAGGGAAACACAGTGGCCCTGAAGGACGGAACAGCGCCAAAATCGAGCCCAAAAAGTCCCTAACGTCCCTTCTGAAACCCTAGAAAAACAATAGTTTTGGACAAGGTTGTATGGTTTTCGACCAATTTTTATACCACTGTTTGTACAATGAGACATACAACCCTCCTGTTGCTCCTGTTGCTGCTGCTGCTCTTCCTCCCGAGGCTGAAAACGCACCCTCCCGGACAGGGAAAGAGGCTGAAAACGCACCCTCCCGGACAGGGAAACACAGTGGCCCTGAAGGACGGAACAGCGCCAAAATCGAGCCCAAAAAGTCCCTAACGTCCCTTCTGAAACCCTAGAAAAACAATAGTTTTGGACAAGGTTTTATGGTTTTCGACCAATTTTTATTTTTAAATATCACTGTTTGTACAATGAGACATACAACCCTCCTGTTGCTCCTGTTGCTGCTGCTGCTCTTCCTCCCGAGGCTGAAAACGCATCCTCCCGGACAGGGAAACACAGTGGCCCTGAAGGACGGAACAGCGCCAAAATCGAGCCCAAAAAGTCCCTAACGTCCCTTCTGAAACCCTAGAAAAAAAACATAGTTTTGGACAAGGTTTTATGGTTTTCGACCAATTTTTATACCACTGTTTGTACAATGAGACATACAACCCTCCTGCTCCTGTTGCTGCTGCTGCTCTTCCTCCCGAGGCTGAAAATGCACCCTCCCGGACAGGGAAACACAGTGGCCCTGAAGGACGGAACAGCGCCAAAATCGAGCCCAAAAAGTCCCTAACGTCCCTTCTGAAACCCTAGAAAAACAATAGTTTTGGACAAGGTTTTATGGTTTTCGACAAATTTTTATACCACTGTTTGTACAATGAGACATACAACCCTCCTGTTTTGGACAAGGTTGTATGGTTTTCGACCAATTTTTTTTTTTTTTTTTTTTTTAAATACCACTGTTTGTACAATGAGACATACAACCCTCCCGTTGCTCCTGTTGCTGCTGCTGCTCTTCCCCCGAGGCTGAAAACGCACCCTCCCGGACAGGGAAAACCAGTGGCCCTGAAGGACGGAACAGCGCCAAAATCGAGCCCAAAAAGTCCCTAACGTCCCTTCTGAAACCCTAGAAAAACAATAGTTTGGACAAGGTTATGGTTTTCGACCAAACCATGTTTGTACAATGAGACATACAACCCTCCTGTTGCTCCTGTTGCTGCTGCTGCTCTTCCTCCCGAGGCTGAAAATGCACCCTCCCGCCCGAGGCTGAAAACGCACCCTCCCGGACAGGGAAACACAGTGGCCCTGAAGGACGGAACAGCGCCAAAATCGAGCCCAAAAAGTCCCTAACGTCCCTTCTGAAACCCTAGAAAAACAATAGTTTTGAACAAGGTTTTATGGTTTTCGACCAATTTTTATACCACTGTTTGTACAATGAGACATACAACCCTCCTGTTGCTGCTCCTGCTCCTGTGACTCCTTCTGTTCAAAAGGCACCTGCCGGATGGGAAAACACCATGGCAGTAGTAGTAGTAGTAGTAGTAGTAGTCGTCCGAAACAAGAGTCAAAAGTATTATTCCCTGGCACGCTCCCCCTTGCGTCTGCCGGGGTCGGCGGATATTGACTGCTGGCTACTGGCTGGGTGCTGCTGTCTTATTCCCTAACGCGCTCCCCCTTGCGCAGCCGGGGTCGGCGGATAGTGAAATGAGACAGAGCCTTCGAAAGCCGATGGAGACCAGGTGCAAGAATACAGAACAGGGTAGAAAAATACATAGAATGTATGCACTCCAGGAACTTGGTTAGCTGTCGTTACTTTAAATAAGGAAACATAGATAATCCATGATTATCCATGATTTATTACAAATGGTTCTGGGGTTTGACCATCGCTGGCTTGAGGCACCCTTTGTACTTGAGTTATGATGTGCATTTTGCATTGAAGCGGCAGTTCAGGATGCATCGGTGTCGTCAAGGCATTACTTTCAATTACAGGAGAGCTCACCAATATTTTTGGGAAGCAAACATCAGCACATGTGTGACCGCATCTCTTGTGAGTATGCTTGTCCAACTTAGTGGACCCTCTACAAGCTCCAGAGTGTACTGTACAAATACTCACTGTGCCACAAGGTATACAGTCGGTAGACATATTAGGATGTATTGATATACACCATAGATTGATGGCCTTGAGACTCCCACTTCATGGTTTCTTTCTTAAGTAAAATGACTCTTGTCTGTTGTCCGACAAGGATTTTGCATATGTACCATTCACTTGAGTCGTTTGTACATACTGTCCATACTTCTTTAACATCACTTTCAACAGGACTGGGTGACTAGCATTCCTTTCGCATTCCTTTTTACCCGTTCTCCATTGCGGCCTTTGAGCCGTCTTGGTGGCAGCCCATGGTCGAAAAGCGAAGCACCGGATGGGCAGGCCGCAGCGGAGGGTTAGACGATTCGACCAAAAGTTTTTTCAGCAGCAGCCAAGCCCTGTCTCAACTTCCCAATTCCAGCCCAAAAGATGCAAAAGGCAAACGGATTCAGTATCCCAGCGATAATAGGCCACGTTCGCTTCTCAAACCAGGGATCGCTGTTGCATATATTTACGCGTCTGTGGTACTTGTCGTGTGGAACCTATGGCCAGAAAAACATCAGACACTACAGACGGATCCAGTGGAGGCTGTTGGGCTGGAAGAGACCAAAGTTACGAAAGACATTGCAGTCATTACAGGAGATGGCACAGATGGCCGAGTAGAACGAGTAGAAGGAGTAGAACGAGTAGAAGGAGTAGAACGAGTAGAACCTGGAAGCACTGGAAGCACTGGAAGCACTGGAAGCGCTGCAAGCACTGGAAGCGCTGCAAGCAACATTGAAGTGCCTTTAAAGCCTTTAAAGCCTTTGTCACCCACAGCTGCGCAGCTAACCATCACTCAGACTGCGATTCGCTCGCAATCTTTGATAGCAGACGTGACACCTCGCCTCAAGGGAGCACAGTTTGTTCAGTCAACGGAATCTTTGCGCTTTGATAGCACAGGGCGAACTTTTGAAGCGGTGGGCGACCACTTACAAGCTTCTTGGGGATGGATGTATCAAGGGACAAGTGGGCTGGTTGGTGACCAACGCAAACAGGAAGCGACATCAGGGTTCATCCCCAAAGCCTTAAAGGCACTTGGTTCAAACATTGCCTGGCAAAGTTTGTTTGAGATTTCGTTTGCAACAGGAGAGAAGGTTACGTCTCTGGATTGTTACCTGATTAAAGGTGCGCCGCTGTCGAAAGTGGAGGCGGAGAAATGGAAATTGATTGCAGGTGAAGCGATAGAGTTACAGTGCCCAAAATCGTTGACTGTGCAGTGGACTGGAGCCTTACTTCGACTTGCTGGTGGAGCAGAGGCCTTGCGCATCCGAGTCTTGTACAGCTACAAGGAAGCTGATTCGCCGCCTGTTCCTGTGAGCCTCACTACGTGGGATTTCAATGAGACTTCCTTCGCTTGCTCCGGTGGAGATTGCCTTGGAACCAGCGGTGAAGTTGATGGGAGCCCCTTGATTGACCCCAAACGAGGACTATGGGTTGCCATGGAGCATCCCCGTGTGCCTCAACTGAAGCATCCCTAATTATTAATTTCTGTACCGTGTTTTTTTTTCATCCTCAGAAATCTGATAGGACACGACCTGAAAGTGAGACTTGGGAAAGTCAGCCAAGGCAGTACATGGCCTCCGTCGAAATGGGACTCGGGTCGTGGCAGAGCTGTTTTATCCATCCCCTGGAGTCCCCTACTACGCATCGCTGGGAGTCAGCAGCGCTGGCAGAACAGTGCCGAGCGTCAATTCAGCAGATTCTTTTTTCTTGTTGCGACGGCACTTCCGTGCCTACCTTGATCAAGTTAGAGCGTCACCAGTTCGGCCGTTTTTGCATTATACAACCTGGTATGATTTGAGACGACATCCTTGCATTGATTCAACAGCTCTGGGATTACCACATTGCTCAGCTGCCAAAACCCTCAATGAGCAGAATGTGGATCAACGTATCCAGGAAACCTACACTGAGTTGTCTGATAGAGGTGTGAGGTTGATGGGGACCTTGCTCGATGATGGTTGGGACGATGCAGGTATGCCTTGGCATGTTGAGCACACAAACTTCCCTTCTGGACTTTATGCCATTTCCGAAGTCGCCAAAAACAAAGGCGTCTCCTTGGGAGTTTGGATGTCACCATCAGGTGGCTTTGGTGAAGGTGGCAAGAGAAGGGTGAAGACAGGTGCTGCCATTGGACTCGAGTTTCATGGTGATGCAAATACCTCAAGTACCCCGAGTAGCCTTCGCCTCTCAGGCACTCGCTATTTTGATTGGTTCTTCAATGCCTCTTTGAATTTGGTCGAGAATGGCATCACCTTTTTCAAATTTGACGGGATAGGTGCGATAGGTGCTGGCAAGTCGAGTGGAGCTGTCGATGCCGAAGATGTTGACAGGCTGATTTTCCTTGTCAATCACCTGAGACATCGAGAGTCTCCAAGACAGGCAAGTGGCACCAGTGGCACCAGTGGCACCAGTGGCACCAGTGGCACCAGTGGCACCAGTGGCACCAGTGGCACCAGTGGCATGGGGGCAAGGTTTCAAGCATCAGCATTCACTGGTGCTTGGCCATCCCCCTGGTGGCTGTGCAGCATGGATTTTGTTTGGCGTGGCGGACCTGACTTAGGCCGGAAGGGTGTGGGATCCCCACGTCAGCAATGGATTACGTTTAGGGATTCCATGGTCCATGATCTTTCACGGCGTGCACAACTCTTTCCACTTTCAAGCCTTTCTGTGGGCGGAATTGTTTGGAGTCGAGCTGAAGAACCTGGAGCATATCTAAATTCCTTCGACATGGAAGGCTTTGCCCAAGAAGTGCAAAGTTTTTTTCTCAGCGGTGTGATGCATCAAGACCTACAAATTCAGCCAGCTTTGCTTGCTCCAGCCTATTGGGACATTTTGGGATCCTATATCAATATTTCCACAAAGTATGCTGATGTTCTTCGGGATTCCCATTGGATGGGTGGCGATCCTTCCCAAGGAGAGGCCTGGTCTGTGCAGATGTTTTGTCATTGACTAAACTTGCTAAACTCGTCTGGCCTCTGGACCTTGGGTCAAGAATGGTCAAGCCGTGTGTTTAGAATTTCTTTAGAGACTTTTAGAGTTGCACTTGAGTTGCACTTGAGTTGCACAGCCAGGTGTACGGCTATGGGGCATATGCGTGCTCACCTTGCCTGGGATTGATGACCTGGCGGAATCCGATAGCTGAGAGGCAGAACACAACCTTTACGCTGCGGAAAGCGCTGTCCCTTCCACAGGCGCGGTGCCGTTGTGTTTGTGATTGATAGCCTTCTTATGCCTTCTTTAGAATTGGCAATCACTTGTTGGCTGCATGGACTACGACCCAAATTGTTTTCACACTCTACCTTTAGAAGATGAATCTGTTCATTTAAATTTCATTTCAACATGTGAGCTTTTAGGCGTGGCCAGGTGGCCTGAGCCCCAGGACAGACCTTGCTAACGTTCGATGCAAGAGATTCATGGTCGACTCATCCCCTCTGTTGGCTGGACATCTAGAGACTCCCCCAACCAGAGTCTGCTTAAGCCGCGCTTGTTTTCTGAAGCAAGTATGACAATCAGCTTTGACACATCAGGGCCACAAAGTCTTCCACAAAGAACGTCAGAACCTTCCACAAAGTCTGGTAACTTCTCTCTGAGGTTCTGTCGGAGGTCGATGGCATGTCAGAATAATAGCGGAGAGCGAGGCGGTTCTGACATGTTCTGACGTCCTCACGGCCCCATGGCCGTCATGTCTTTTTTTTTCCATAGGTCTTGTCGGAGAGAGACTGTCTTCTGTATGGCAGTCTTGCCTTTTCGATCCCTCTTCACCCTTCACGTTCTCTCTTTTTCAGTCTTTTTCAACCTCGGAACCTTTCCCACTGTTTCGCATGTCTCCTCGCTTGCTTGGAATAGCCAAAGGAAGACGGGGAGGAGAAACAAAAAAGACAACAAAAGATACAAAAGTGACAGCAGCATGAATGCAACAGCATCACTGCTGTTGTCATCAACAGCAGGACACAGCGACAGTAGCATTTTTTAAAATGCAGCTTGCCACTGTCATGACCTGTGCACCGCTGCATTGCAAGAATCAGACTGTAGGATACTGTAGGTCTGTGTTTGTTTTCCATTGTTTTCTAGATTCCAGTCTGTTTTCTAGACAGCCCATGGGAAGTGGTTGGGAATCGAACCGTGCTGCAGGTTGTGTTGGATGCGTCGCAGCTGGACTTCACTTGGGAGGCAGCTGCCAATGACACCAATGCTAGTCAAGCAATGACCAGATGCCTCGATGCAAAACGGTCAGACACGTTTTGAGTTTTGACATTGCTGTAGTGATCAACAAGATGATGCCATGACAGCTTGTAATAGCTTTATGTGACACATATGTGACACTTGTGATAGCATTGATAGCTCCATGTGCTCAGTCTGACTCAGTGCTTTCAGATTTCAGAATATGTGCGAGGCAGTGCTCCTCGACCAACCTCTCCACTTGCAGCTGGTACCTGAGTGCAACCTGAACGGACACCTGTCAGAAACATTCAGGAAACTCTGTAAGGACACGGAATGCTAGTGGCCCCATGCCAAGACTTGTCCTTCTCAGACGGAAAACATCGGAAAACTATGAAAATCTCACAGGTTGGAAAGCTTGCAGCTGCGATCTTTCAAGGCTAGCAGGATTTTGGATCTTGTCTTTGTCTGGTGCCGAGAAGAACTATAACTATAATATATATTAATATATCGGCATTGTAATAATTATTTCCGTCAAAGAGCAGAACACCAACTCTTTGATGCATTCAAATGCCCCACCAAAGCTTTGCGAGACTTCAATAAGAACTATGGTGTGGAGGGAGGAACACCGGGAACAAACCTTGTGATACATACGTAGAATACAGAAGCAGTCAGAGAGCAACAACGCAACAAGCAACAGACACGGCAAACAGCAAATGTGGGAGACACAAGATAGGATGAATGGGACTCAACTGATACAGCAGCCCTACCATTTTCATGGAAGGAGATCAATACCAGACGATGGTGCAAAACCAAACAAAGTTTTGGGGGCAAATGTTTGAAGTGGAATCAGAAGCTGAATCAGGTATATTCTTGACAGGTTTACGGGACACAAAGTGTTCAAGACTTGCTGTGACATTCGGATTCCATGTGATTAGCTGCTTGTCCACCGTATTTGTGGGGCGATGTGTTTATATTGAAAGTCAATCAATGCATCCAGGTGGAGCAAGCGCAAGTATGATGTGGACAGCGGAGGCCTGAAATCGCTTTGGAAAAATGGCTGGCAACACAAACTTCAAAATGTCGTTGAAGCTTGGATTCAGATGAGCTGTGCATCTTTGCTTGAGGTGTATGCATAATCCAGTCTGCCAATGTCTGCCATTCGTTTGATCACACTTTGCTGTGTTTTTCTTTTTCGCGTTCCATTGTCTCAGATACTTTCAGCGCACATGTACATAGTGTAAGTGCAACAGTGGAACATAGCAGAACTCAATTTCACGTGAAGGGCATGACTGCCCTGCATACAACTTACACAACTCAGAGGTTTCCAACGAAATGACTGTCTTGCTTATTCTTGATGCCAGTGATTGTTTGCCTAGATCCCAAACAACGCCAAAGGTAAACACGCATTAACAATTTACAATCGTAAACATACATGTCATTGCTACCAGTACTGGTATTGTTGAGGTGTCTTTTCTGTTTAACCAATAGATGGCCTGCTCATGGTGAGCAGTCTTGTATGACGCGCAACACCAGTGTCAATTTTTTACGAGTCTCTTTTGCAAAGTGACGGGTCTTTCTGTGTTGCACATTGAGGCTGGTTATGTAATCCAGCCTCTAGCAATTCTCAACATCGGCAGGTACCATGCTTCCGTTCGATCTGCCTACGTGAAACTAATTTGCAACGTTGTGGAAATTAATCCAGTTTCAACTGCTACATTTCAAAGTCCTGTATACCATTGTGCGAATGAATGCAATGTCTTGTGCTGGAGTGTATTCTGGTGTGCAGTGTAAATCATTTGAAGCAATTCACTCAAAGTTGATTTTGTTGATGTCTGCCAATGTCTGCCAATAGATTTGCATTGAACAGCTGCAGCTGAGGAACTGGCAGGGGAAGCTGGAGCCAAGCCGAAAGCACTAGGAGGGTGCCATTGTGCAATTGTGCAGGTGCCACAGCAACAGAATGTAACAGAAAGCAACAGAAAGCAACAGAAGACAACAGAAGGCAAGAGTGCTTCTCAAAAGAGCCTCTGTGGCCTCACGAATTGCAACCTCAGTGATGGGTGACTCCAGAAATATCTGGGTCTGGACGTCCGTTGTTTGATCAACACAAGGAGGTTGCAGACCACGCAGCATTGTCGCAAACTTAAATAAATCGGCGGAAGTGGTGCTAACGTCGAGCCTAAGCATGCAATGCATGAGGCGCAGTGTTGAACGCGGCGCAGATCATCCTTATGTATATATTGGATGATATTGAACAGACATGTAGACTTATTCAGACATTTAAAATGTGGGCTGATAGGGGGCTCATGCTGATTTCTTTCTTTCAGGGAGGTTGCTTCAAGTCCGAACTCTTTTGCCGCATAGACGATTGGGAAAAAAGAATCAGAGGAGCTGTGCGGACTTTCCCAGCAAACAGCAGTTTCTTGCAAGTGTTTCTCCACGCAATATTGACTTCAAACTCTCCTACCTTAGCTGCAAAGCGCCTTGCATGTTCTCTTGTTGAGTACCTGACGTCTTTATACGTCTTTGCATTTGCCCTGATTTGGCTCAGTTGGCTCTACCTTCTGGACTTCAAAGCAAATTCTTTTGGTGAGCCCTCGTGATTCATGGGCTGCTGTTGCAGCGGAAAGAAGGCCGTTCTCAGGCAGTGGAGACGTACGTTAGAGTCACTACAGCATGGCCGGTTAGCTTTTGTGCTTTTGAATGTTTTCAGATTATGTTGGACTAAGTCATTTTAGCAGAAAATTCAATGGAGAGCTGATGTCGATTGTTGAGAGGCCTAGTAGCGATGCAGGGCCAATGGTGGGCGGCTGCTACTCCCTACGCAAGCGCGTACCTTTGATGAAGTCTCCCTCGAAGAGCTCCGAGACGCAAGATACTTTGAAGAAGCAGGCACGTGGTCGCACACTGTTGCTTTTAATGTCTTCTTTCACAGATTAGGTTGGTTAGGCGGACCGTTCGTGTTTAGGTTGGATCTTTGGTTCTGGCTGCAGAACTTGTTGGTCATCAAGGTACAGAAAGGGTCAACACCAACACAACATGCCTGCGATCCAAGTATGGCACACACGCACAGCCATTCAGATAAAAGCAAGCACAACAGATGAAACGAGAAAAGCGAAAAAAACAACAACCAATAAACGTAGGTAAAGACAGCAACAAGCCATGACATCGTTTTGTTCAATTGTGTGCTCAAGCGCGTGGCTTAAGCAAAATTAACGGAGCAGACACAAACATAATCTGAACATGTCTGGACTGTTTGGAAAAAACCATTACACCACCGTAGACACCAAACAGGTGGTAGACATGATGGGAGACAAATGAAGGAAGACATTCAAAGAGCCGGACACCACCAGTGACACGAGGGCAGACACCTCGATTCAGGACCCCTAGCAGTAAGCTGTTTGGGGAACTACATGAGGGGCGAAGGGCCCACAGCATCCAAAAAGGTAGACGCAATAGATTGTTCCAAAAAGCACCCCCACACCAATGCACATCCTTTGAGGCCAAAGTGCTTGTGCTCAACTTGGAGGAATCCACAGGTGGGATCCGTGTATGCATATCATTGCGACAGTTCTGACTCGTAGGAATATTCCCTGGTGCGCTCCCCCTTGCTGTCGACCGGTGTCGGTGCATTTTCATATGGACAATAATGAACCGATCCACGCTTGTTGGCGTGCAGTTTCCGACCAGGTGTTTTTGCAGCTGTTGTCGAGCGGGTCACGTCTTTTGCTCTTGACTTCCTTGCCTTAGAACAACTATAGGTACTCGTAGTTCGATTTATTCAATACCTTATCGATCTCATAGCCATATATTCCTCATCAGCATGTTCTTCATGACATTCTAGTCTTTACTATAGTCATCAGAGCCGTTGCTACCACTGAAACACTAGAAGCAATATAGCAGCAACAGCGGCGGCAGCAGCAGCAGCAGGAGGAGCAGGAGGAGCAGGAGGAGCAGGAGGAGCAGCAATTGTGGCAGCAGCAGCAATAAGAACAACGACGACGGCGACGACGACAACAACAGCAGCAACAACAACGACGTAACGACGACGACGACGAGGAGGACGACAACAACAACGACAACCAAATGACTTGTAGTACTTTCAAGTCTCAGTACCACTTTGCAACATGTTGTTTGTGACATTTTGTGGAAGGTTGCTTGGGCATGGCAGTGGATCAATTTGTCTTTCTCGACCAGGTTTTTGTTTGGTGCTGCCCGAGCCACCGCAAAAAGCAGGCTGGCTTGCAACTTGGCTTCAAAACTGATGGACGTTGAGAGTTTCAAGTCAAGGCAGTTCAAACTGCGATCCCAACAAGCTGATATAGTTTCGATCTCTGGATCGGCATTCAAAGTATTTTTTCTGGCCCATGTATCTAGCAAACAAGCCAGGGTGATCACCTTAACAAAAACATGTAAAAACGATATGAAACAATGATCCTAGAAATGTGGAAAAGGATGCAAAGAAAGCAGGAAGAAATGGAAGAGGGAAGAGGGATGGCTCACAATCAAGAAAGGAAAGAAGTTAGGGCAAATGTGGGGTACTGTAGTTTTTTTTTGCTTCGGTATATCGTGTACCACCTGTTTTGGGGAGACAAGCAGGCTTGATTTGGTGATTATCGTTTTAGTGTTCGCTGTTTCCAATTGGGGCGAAAGTACAGATCCTTCCACTTAAGCCACCTTGCAATGGAAGCTAAGAAAGTCGTGAGTGAATGCCCTGTAGTGTTCACTCGGAGAAGTTGCGGGACTATTCACAGCCGGTGGGTGCTCAGGGGCCAATATAGAATGGGCTAGCGCCCGGGTGCCGCCGACCCCCCCCAATTTGGGGGGTCCTGCAGAGAGAGGGAGAGAGATAGATGGATGGATGGATGGATGGATGGATGGATGGATGCATGCATGCATGGATGGATGGATGGATGGATGGATGGATGGATAGGTAGAGAGATAGAGTTAGGGGTTGTAGGGCTTTTAGGGGTTTGAAGCCTGGCAAACGGCAGGCTCGAATGCCTTAACAAGAGAGGGCTATGTGCAGGCAAAGGAGGGTTTTAGGCGTTTTAGGGGTTTTAGGGGTTTGAAGCCTGGCAAACGGCAGGCTCGAATGCCCTAACAAGAGAGAGCTATGTGCAGGCAAAGGGCAGGCTGCAATGCTGGAACGCTGACGGCCAAGAGCTTGGTGGAAGCTGCCGCGAGGGATGTGCAGGCAAAGGGCAGGCTGCAACCCTGGAGCAGCAAAGGCTGACGGCTAGGCTTGGTGGAAGCTGCCGCGAAGGAATTGGAGGGTTTTAGGGGCTTTTTTTAGGGGTTTGAAGCCTGGCAAACGGCAGGCTCGAATGCTTAACAAGAGAGGGCTATGTGCAGGCAAGGGAGGGTTTTAGGCGTTTTAGGGCTTTTAGCGGTTTGAAGCCTGGCAAACGGCAGGCTCGAATGCCTTAACAAGAGAGGGCTATGTGCAGGCAAAGGAGGGTTTTAGGCGTTTTAGGGGTTTGGGGTTTGAAGCCTGGCAAACGGCAGGCTCGAATGCCCTAACAAGAGAGGGCTATGTGCAGGCAAAGGGCAGGCTGCAATGCTGGAACGCTGACGGCCAGGAGCTTGGTGGAAGCTGCCGCGAGGGATGTGCAGGCAAAGGGCAGGCTGCAACCCTGGAGCAGCAAAGGCTGACGGCCAGGCTTGGTGGAAGCTGCCGCGAAGGAATTGGAAGGTTTTAGGGGTTGTAGGGCTTTTAGGGGTTTGAAGCAACGGCAGGCTCGAATGCCTTAACAAGAGAGGGCTATGTGCAGGCAAAGGAAGGTTTTAGGCGTTTTAGGGGTTTTAGGGGTTTGAAGCCTGGCAAACGGCAGGCTCGAATGCCCTAACAAGAGAGAGCTATGTGCAGGCAAAGGGCAGGCTGCAATGCTGGAACGCTGACGGCCAAGAGCTTGGTGGAAGCTGCCGCGAGGGATGTGCAGGCAAAGGGCAGGCTGCAACCCTGGAGCAGCAAAGGCTGACGGCTAGGCTTGGTGGAAGCTGCCGCGAAGGAATTGGAGGGTTTTAGCGGTTTCAGGGGTTTTAGGGGTTTGAAGCCTGGCAAACGGCAGGCTCGAATGCCCTAACAAGAGAGGGCTATGTGCAGGCAAAGGACGGTTTTAGGCATTTTAGGGGTTTGAAGCCTGGCAAACGGCAGGCTCGAAGGCCCTAACAAGAGAGGGCTATGTGCAGGCAAAGGCCAGGCTGCAATGCTGGAACGCTGACGGCCAGGAGCTTGGTGGAAGCTGCCGCGAGGGATGTGCAGGCAAAGGGCAGGCTGCAACCCTGGAGCAGCAAAGGCTGACGGCCAGGCTTGGTGGAAGCTGCCGCGAAGGAATTGGAAGGTTTTAGGGGTTGTAGGGCTTTTAGGGGTTTGAAGCCTGGCAAACGGCAGGCTCGAATGCCTTAACAAGAGAGGGCTATGTGCAGGCAAAGGAGGGTTTTAGGGGTTTGAAGCCTGGCAAACGGCAGGCTCGAATGCCCTAACAAGAGAGAGCTATGTGCAGGCAAAGGGCAGGCTGCAATGCTGGAACGCTGACGGCCAAGAGCTTGGTGGAAGCTGCCGCGAGGGATGTGCAGGCAAAGGGCAGGCTGCAACCCTGGAGCAGCAAAGGCTGACGGCTAGGCTTGGTGGAAGCTGCCGCGAAGGAATTGGAGGGTTTTAGCGGTTTCAGGGGTTTTAGGGGTTTGAAGCCTGGCAAACGGCAGGCTCGAATGCCCTAACAAGAGAGGGCTATGTGCAGGCAAAGGACGGTTTTAGGCATTTTAGGGGTTTGAAGCCTGGCAAACGGCAGGCTCGAAGGCCCTAACAAGAGAGGGCTATGTGCAGGCAAAGGCCAGGCTGCAATGCTGGAACGCTGACGGCCAGGAGCTTGGTGGAAGCTGCCGCGAGGGATGTGCAGGCAAAGGGCAGGCTGCAACCCTGGAGCAGCAAAGGCTGACGGCCAGGCTTGGTGGAAGCTGCCGCGAAGGAATTGGAAGGTTTTAGGGGTTGTAGGGCTTTTAGGGGTTTGAAGCAACGGCAGGCTCGAATGCCTTAACAAGAGAGGGCTATGTGCAGGCAAAGGAAGGTTTTAGGCGTTTTAGGGGTTTTAGGGGTTTGAAGCCTGGCAAACGGCAGGCTCGAATGCCCTAACAAGAGAGAGCTATGTGCAGGCAAAGGGCAGGCTGCAATGCTGGAACGCTGACGGCCAAGAGCTTGGTGGAAGCTGCCGCGAGGGATGTGCAGGCAAAGGGCAGGCTGCAACCCTGGAGCAGCAAAGGCTGACGGCTAGGCTTGGTGGAAGCTGCCGCGAAGGAATTGGAGGGTTTTAGTGGTTTTAGGGGTTTTAGGGGTTTGAAGCCTGGCAAACGGCAGGCTCGAATGCCCTAACAAGAGAGGGCTATGTGCAGGCAAAGGAGGGTTTTAGGCATTTTAGGGGTTTGAAGCCTGGCAAACGGCAGGCTCGAATGCCCTAACAAGAGAGAGCTATGTGCAGGCAAAGGGCAGGCTGCAATGCTGGAACGCTGACGGCCAAGAGCTTGGTGGAAGCTGCCGCGAGGGATGTGCAGGCAAAGGGCAGGCTGCAACCCTGGAGCAGCAAAGGCTGACGGCTAGTAGGCTTAGTGGAAGCTGCTGCGAAGGAATTGGAGGGTTTTAGCGGCTTTAGGGGTTTTAGGGGTTTGAAGCCTGGCAAACGGCAGGCTCGAATGCCTTAACAAGAGAGGGTTATGTGCAGGCAAAGGAGGGTTTTAGGCATTTTAGGGGTTTGAAGCCTGGCAAACGGCAGGCTCGAATGCCCTAACAAGAGAGGGCTATGTGCAGGCAAAGGGCAGGCTGCAATGCTGGAACGCTGACGGCCAGGAGCTTGGTGGAAGCTGCCGCGCGGGATGTGCAGGCAAAGGGCAGGCTGCAACCCTGGAGCAGCAAAGGCAGACGGCCAGGCTTGGTGGAAGCTGCCGCGAAGGAATTGGAGGGTTTGGGGGGTTTTAGGGGTTTTAGGGGTTTGAAGCCTGGCAAACGGCAGGCTCGAATGCCGTAGCAAGAGAGGGCTATGTGCAGGCAAAGGAGCGTTTTAGGCATTTTAGGGGTTTGAAGCCTGGCAAACGGCAGGCTCGAATGCCCTAACAAGAGAGGGCTATGTGCAGGCAAAGGGCAGGCTGCAATGCTGGAACGCTGACGGCCAAGAGCTTGGTGGAAGCTGCCGCGAGGGATGTGCAGGCAAAGGGCAGGCTGCAACCCTGGAGCAGCAAAGGCTGACGGCTAGGCTTGGTGGAAGCTGCCGCGAAGGAATTGGAGGACGCATGCCAGGAGAAGGTTTACGCGATGTGGTTTGACCTTGGAAAGCTAAGAAGGAAAAGTTCCACACCTGCGGTGGTCCCAGGCGCCGCCCCGGCCTTGGCGAAGGCCGGGGTCGGCGGATTTCATTCGCAGTGATTCGTTCCACAAGAGCCAAAGTGTTCTGATTTTGCTGCAGTTGCTATGCTGGACCTGCTAGGTGGGATACTTTTTACATATGTTCCTTTGACGCTGCTCGAATGAAATCCCCGATTTTCCAATATAATATGTCGCATCAGAAGTGTTGTTGCAACGCAGCTCTCGTTGTGAGAGTCTATCATCGCCAATTTCATTTGCGTACCAGTGGGTTTGCTTGCTCCAACCATGTGCTTGAAACTGTTCAGAACAAGTGAATCCACCAAAACCGAGCCAATTGAACTTTGCGTTTGACATGGTTTATATAGCCTTATGAGTGTAAAACATACCGATTCCTAACAACCTTTCATATTTCCTTGCTCCATTTGCCCTGCCTTTGTATTTTGATTGATTATCAATAAAAGACCCCCTGATGTGATGTGTTCATTTGTTTCGTGACCTTCGTGCAAGGCAAAGCCGCTTCCAGTCTCCTTGAGGCAGCTAAAAGAAAACAACAGACGGCTGAAAAGTTTAGTTCAGCCAGGGCAGGGCGAGCAAATCAAGAGGAGGGGACTTTTGCACAGTAGATTCAGCAGATACCGCCAAAAATGCTGGTGAGGCGTTTGAAGGGATCTCGGGATGTTCCTGGAAGATACCGAGTTCTACAAGCAACAGCACTGCGTGCGACGTCGTCGGAGGGTAGTCAGGACATTCAGCTGTAAAGCTGCAAAGCAAGTGCAGCATGCAGCGTCCACTTGGATTTTTGTCAATCTCAAAGCTACCTGTTGGACTTTTGAGACAGGAGATTGCGCAGGCAAGACTGTCATGCTTTTGATGGGGCTCATTTTCTAGGAGTTTCATGAAGAGCCAAAGAGCTGTCACAATTTTATATACCATACCTCACAAATTCGCGTTCCATTACTCAGTTACTTGGATTGCTGCACGAGTTGTTCGGTTATGCTTTATATTTACCTTATATATATATTAATAATGTTTTCTCATACAGTATAAAATGGCCGTTGATTGTCACAAACAATGTAGGCTCATAGTGCAGTCCCCGCACATTCGTACTTCATTTTGTCGTCTTGAATTCAAGTCCAACTTATGGACTATGCCACAAACTGACAGCAGGGGTATTCAACGAGCTGCACCCTGCTGTTGCTTTCTTTCATCCCAAGAGCTGCGTTGATTTGTCAGAACTCTGTATTTTGCTAAACGGTACTAATCTGGGGGCTGCGAGAGAACCAGAAGCATCCCTACCATGAACTACGAGCAAAAACCAATGTTTTCACCCGAACTGTGGCAGGTGCATGCAAATCAGGAGGTGGTGCTGTTTGAGCTTGGCCTCTCAAACAACGTAGTGACTGGAAGAGTGAAGACATGTGACGAAGAAAGCTTCTTGGCAGTGGATTGGCAGTACATGAGTATGATGGGATCGCAAGGAGTACAAATGTAGAAGAACCAGAACCACAGAAGCGCGGATTCTGACTTGAATTTGCTACGTCAAATCAATGCAGAGGGCGATTCTGACACTGTCGTGACCTTTCCTGGTAGTACTATCATATTATATATATGTGTGTATATATGAATACATAAATGATATATTATAACTTATCGAAGGAAGTTTAGAAGCTAAACTTCCGACAATATGGACAGTTGAAACGCAGAGCAGGGAAGAGGCAGAGAGAAGAGAAAAGATCAGAAGAAAGAAGAGGTAGATGCGCGAAAAGATAGGAAAGTCGCGATTCACTGTGTTTTTCCAATGATTTGTGGCTCCGGAGGGTCGAAAAGTAGGCTCGCTAAAGCGGCGGGTGCGGAGCCAGCTGGCCAGATGAGACATGAAAAAGTGCACGCCGTTGTGGCGCGAAGCACATTTCCAAGTCAAAATGGACAAAACACACCAGGATCGGACCACTTTTGGAAGTTGAGATGTCGAAAAAGTGCACGCCGTTGTGGCGCGAAGCACATTTCCAAGTCAAAATGTACAAAACACACCATGTCGGACCACTTTTGGAAGTTGAGATGTCGAAAAAGTGCACGCCGTTGTGGCGCGAAGCACATTTCCAAGTCAAAATGTACAAAACACACCAGGTCGGACCACTTTTGGAAGTTGCGATGTCGAAAAAGTGCACGCCGTTGTGGCGCGAAGCACATTTCCAAGTCAAAATGTACAAAACACCAAATGTTCGCGCCACTTTTGGAGGTTCGGATGTTGGAAAAGTGCACGCCGTTGTGGCGCGAAGCACATTTCCAAGTCAAAATGCACAAAACACACCATGTTCGGACCACTTTTGGAGTCTGAGATGTCGAGTTTCGAAAAAGTGCACGCCGTTGTGGCGCGAAGCAGATTTCGAAGTCAGAGTGTCCAAAACAGACCATGTTCGGACCACTTTTGGAGTCTGAGATGTCGAGTTTTGAAAAGTGCACGCCGTTGTGACGCGAAGCACAGTTCCAAGTCAAAATGTTAAAAACACTAGGGTTTCCGACCACTTTTGGAGGTTCAGATGTCGCTTCGCTTCGCTTCGCGTCACTTCACTACACTACACTACATGACACTACACTACACTACACTTCGAGCGGTTGAGATGTTTCTTCTAACCCATCCGTGTCGCGTCTAGGTTGTGCATCCGTTTTGTCTCCGAAACCGATCATGCAACCGTCGGCCGACGATGGAAAATAACGCAGTGAGCCCTCTGGCAGGCATCGGTTTTGGAAGCACAACAGGGAATAGATACCATGGGATTTGATAGCTAAATCGATAGATAGACGGGCAACTAGATCGATGGATACATAGACAGATCGTACATCGAGAGATAAATCGAAAGATGGGTGGCTAGATAGAGAAAAAGATCGACAATAGACAGGTAGATGGAACGACCGATGGACACACGGATCGCCAGATCGAAAGATCGCTAGAAACGTCCATGTCCAGGTAAACTCATGGATAGCTAGATAGATCGATGGATGGCTGGAAGAACAGAGAGACGGACAGATGCATGGATGAATCGATAGACACACAGAACGTGTTGTGAGAGCTAAACCGTCTTAAGTGAAGATGGACATTCTCATGACTAAAAACCAAGCATCTACACATCATTCATAGGATGAGAGTCATCGCATCACAATACCAACATATTGAACATATTGATGAATCCACCATGAAAGGACAACCGATATACTCTCATCCAATGGACATGTTCCTACCATAAGCATCGATACAGGAATAGAAAGACAGCTAGCATGCAATGGTATAACCCACGGTTATGATCGTACAGAAAAACATGAAGAAATGTTACCCATCCCTCCGACGTGTCTACCTCACGGTGTCGCGGCAGCTTGGTCCTAGCAACAGCGGACAGGAATCGTCGGCTGCCGCTGTGCTGGCGTGCGCCATCATGCCGTCAGAAGTACAGAAAAACATGAAGAAATGTTACCCGGCCCATCCCTCCAACGTGTCTGCCTCACGGTGTCGCGGCAGCTTGCTTTGTCCTAGCAACAGCAGACAAAAAGGCAGAAACACACAACCACCTTTCAATCCATCAGTGGGTTCGCTCTGCCATTTTTGCGCCACAGCAACACGCGTCTCCTATAGGGCTCCTATTTTTGAAACTTCCGCCACCGCCTTGTGCGGTACTACTGGTATAATATGATAATTTGGCTCTGTTGTTTCTATGCACATGAGATTTCACAAGCTGGACATAAGGTAGCCAGACTGGTTGGTTGAACCTCCAGATCTCTGGCTCTCCGGTTCTTGACGCAGTAAATCTTTTGGGCCCAGAAGTGGCAAACCAGCTGCAATCTCAGCTTTGGCAAAGCTGTAAGAGTTGAAGACATTCAAAGGTCAAAGCAGATCCATCATTACCAAGGCCTCCGTCGAATGGCTTCAAAACAGCTGCGTGGCAGGCCGGAAGTTAGCGGAATTTCAAAGAAACATCTCGTGCGAGACTACTGTTCAGTCTGCAAGTCATTCTGCACAAGGTTGGGAGACAATACCGTGCTTTGGAAACGCAAGCGCTGGCAGAGCAGCCAGCTAGTACGAGCAGTTCCGCCACTTGCTGCAGATGTGGGGCAGGCAAGATGGCATTGCGAAGCTTTGATGCGTTTAATGCATATTGTGGTGATTGGACTCAGAATTTATGCAATCTTTTGAAACAAACTCAGCACATCTGATCTCCAAAGTTAAGGTGGGTCTTTAGTCCAACTGCAGCAGCTACAAGATGCTGATGAAGGTCTTTGGATGCAGGTATGTTTGGGCCTTACGGGCAGCCGTGCTTTTCTACGGGAGGAATGACAATGACTGTCACTCCAATGAGCTGCCTCTTAGATTTAAAAGGTGTCAGCACTAACTTAAACACACTATAGCAGCGAGGGGCAACAGCAGGGTTGACAGGTCTGAGCAGCACCCGCTTTGTCCTGAGGTGTGCAAGATGGTCCGAATGCTGGACAGATTGGTTGGATTCAGAGCAAAACAGACCGGCTCCTTGTGGACTCGAGGGAGCAGTGGGAAGTGGAGAGACATGCGAAGCCGAAAGAGGCCATGTCTCCGTCGGGAACGATCGTGAAGATGGCTGATGCAAAGAAGTCTGACGCCCTAGCGGCTTATGAGATTCCAGATCAGACAGATGAGCCCATTGAAGAGATTGACAGACAGGATGATGCTGATGCGAGCAAGCGGCAGCTTTCCTGCGGATATTGTGTTTGCCGCTTGGTGCCAGCAGAGAGGACAGGGGCCTATGGAGTTGCAGCTTTCCAACCCTTCTAGCACAAGGGCAGACACTTGACAACTCTGTTAGATCCCCCAAAGCTAGCGGAATTCGGGCTAGAAGCAATGAATATGGCAATGCTGGACAGCAACAAGGACGGTGATAAGGCAATGACGGCAGCAGTCAAGGTGACGACCATGGATCATGGTGGTGGGATCTAAATTTTTATCATCATTGGATGAGGACCATGGTGATAATTCCACCACGACCAGAGCAAAGACCATGCGGATTCCTTTAAAGGTCTATTCTAAATTATATGTTGTAAAATATGTCTGTCACAGGTGTTTTGCTGAGTGACACTTGTTGGACAGATTTCAAAAAGCTTGCTACCCAAAGCCGCACTGTGGATGTATCTGTTTTCCAGATAGATGATGATTATCTAGGTCTCAAGAGTGTTTCTTTCACTGTGGATAGTGCAGGAACCATCCAGCCACGATCCATCACCATCACAGTGCTATGGAGCTTCCTGAATCCCCTCCCCATCGTCGTCAAGAAAAGCTCTCCTCAGCTGAACTTGAGCGTTGGCTGCAGAGCATCTACCTGCGATACAACCCAAGTTTACTTCCACAAGCGAGGATCCCAGAACAGAACTTGAAATGAAAAACACTTCAGTTGTCATTCATTACCTTTTTTTTAATTCTAGTGAACACAGTCACGATGTGCTTGAGAAGGTCCCGGAATTCATCGAGAAGCACAAAGACACCGAGTCATTGCTCGTTGAGAGCGTTTGTAGAAAATACAGAGTTTCACCACCGAGCGGATGGTACAAAACCAGCTGACAAATATTGCGACCAGCCGCTGCTGACAGGGCTTTCGAGTCTGTGGAGGTGATTGACCCGGTGTCCAGTCGGTGTCCAGTCGGTGTCCAGTTGTATCAAAGTCAAAGTCACAGACAGGTGATCTGTTTGATCTGTACAGTCTGTACACTATCTTGTATCTAGTCCCGATGGTTTTGATTTTGACCTGCAAGCACGGACGATCGCATGGATGTTACACATTTTGACAGGCTCCTGTACTGGTACCTTTTGACATGCTGGTTATTTCCCACAGTGAATACATTGTGGCTTTCAGACCCGCCGAGAAGGTTTTGCTTCTGCATGAAATTTGTTACAGGCTCGAGCTGTACACTTCCAAATGAAACGAACGAACACGGCCACTGAAGAGCAAGGAATACGTTTTTTCTTTTAAAACAAGAAAAGTGAAAACCACATTAAAAGAACGACATAAGATTCCTATACGCATTCGGCTCTGAATAGGGTTTGCTTTCTTGGAAAAGGCTAACACAGCAATTTGATATAATCTCGCACGATGTGCAAGCCACACTTCCGAACTTTGTACACTTATTTCGAGCTAGAAGAGTGTTTCCCTGACAGCATTGGGTCATGTGTGATCAGAATTATCTTATGTGAAGTGACCCGTCAGGCTTTGATTGAAAGGACGACACAATTCCTGTCTCAGTCTTCCAATGCCCACATAGACATGAAGTGTTCCAGGACTTGCTCCGAGGTGAAAGTCTTGAGAGTTTTGCTTCACCCAGCAACAAGCTCAACAGATCTCAACAGACTAACAGACTACTCTTTCAGCATACATGTCAGATGTGCTGTCTACTTGCTACACTTGCTACACTTTTACAAAGGGGCGCATCGGGGAAACATGCAGGAGCAAGACCATGACCTTCTCCTTGGGTGTGGTTCTTGCTTGGGCCATAGAATTGGAAGCAGTTTTAGTGGCTGCCATACAAGTGGTCGAAATTAGTCAAGTAGTCAGTTTGCGTCGCTTCGAATGGACACCACCTGCACAAGAGATTCTTGCATATTCTTGCAATGGGTCTGGCTGTTTGACTGGAGTGAATTCTAATAAAACCCGTAAAGAACCTCAATGGCAAAGACTTTTTTGCACATTGACCCCTTCGGAAAACTGTCTTTGGCGCATCAGCCGTCAAGGCCCATGTTGGACATTTCTGGAAGTTGGTATGGAGAAATTCGACATAACCTACTTTGAGCCCAGTACAGTGCAAAACATGCCCGGGTACTGTAAGGCTTTTGTTGGACTTCTGTTGCCTCAAATGGAACCTCTTTTTCAATCTCCCAAATCCGCCGTGTGCATTGGTTGACACAAAGTCTCCCAACTCTCACTGTAAGCCCCACTTTCAGAGTCAGTTAGGCCTTGTGGCTGCATTCTGCGCAAACTGGACCATGATTGCGCTCCAAAACCAGGCAAAACTACACAAAAATTGCACGATAGGATTTAGCAGCTGAAGGAAATCGATGGAAAGAATTTCCCTCCATATGCACTCCATTCATCGCCCATGCCAGTGCGAATGCAATGTGTTTTGTTTTGCAACTAAGGCTGAGCTGACTGCAGGACAGACGGCAGAGAACGAGCGAGAAAAGTATTATTTATTTATTTATTTATATATATATATATATTATATATATGTATACATATACATGATTACATATCTGGGTAAATTATAACGACCTCACTGCGACCTCACTGGAATCATGGTTAATAAGGGAAATCATCCCCAAATGGCCTTAATTCAGGTTAGTGAAATATTATAATTTACCCATGTATATATATGTATGGGTATAGTCCAGTCAAGAGCTGAAGGCAGTATTTCCGAACTTGTCATCGAATTCATGAAGTTGTTCACGTTTTCAAGAAGTCCACATTTCACAGAAGTTGTCCACATTTCACAAGAGTTGTGATGGTTTCACAAGCTCCTGAATAACCTTTGTGTTCAACTTCTGTGGAATGGACGGCTCTCCCTGAACGCTCTTAACCATACTACTGGTATCACAGCGACAGCTACGTTGGATTCTGACCCTGCTGCTTTTCTTCCTCTGCTGGCAACTCATCTGTTGCACTCTGTTGTCTGGTTGTCCCCAACCCCAACTGTTCAGCCTCCCGGTTTTTTCATTTCCTGGCTTTGTCGAGGAGCTGACGCCCAGTCAGCCTGTCCAGATTTGAGCAGTTTCCGGTACTGGATGGAGGAGTATGTCACACGATGCCAGTCTGACACACAGTAAATTCATGTAAATTCAGTATAAATCTATGTCAACATCGACAGTAAATCTATGCGCTGATGTGCTGAGGCCAACCGTATGGGTGCCCAGGAGGGATGCAGGCAGCAGTTTGTTTTCCAGCAGAAACAAACGTTTCCCGTGGCAAAACATTTGTTTCTGAGCAAAACAAACGTTCGCAACCGGTCGGGTTCATAATTTCTCGCGTTCATGAGTACAAGGCATTCTTTCAAGATTTGTATTATTGATTATTATTGCATTACTTCTTTTTGTCAAGTTTTCTGTATAAAACATATGCAACCTTTGCTTCCTCTGAGTTGTAGCCAACTTATGAAACGCATCCTGTTCTGTGGTTTGCACTCTGAGGCCAACTCAACATGTGACTGGGTCACCTGTGACTGCCTGCAGGCAGGACACCTTGTCATCATGACTACACGCAGTACAGGGAGGGGACTTAGAGTTGTTAATTCCATGATGAGTGGAGAAAATCGTTGTGTGCATTTGTCGGGATAACGAAGATCTTGCTGGTCGTAACGTGTCGTAACAGGATAACCAATGACAAGGTCTTATTCTGGGATATTGAAATCAAAGCTAAGATTGATGTGTGGAGTTGCCTGAACTTGACCTGCAAGAAGCCTAGACTCATTTCTTGCAAAGCTCGTGAGTTTGATTTCGCAGAGCAAAAAGGGGCGTGGTCAAACTTACCTTGCAGCGACCACAACATACAAATTGAAGCTGAGAGGTGCCAGCCCCCTGAACCTCATATGCCTCATATGCCTCATATGCTAATGCCTTGAATGATGAAGAGAGGTAAATGTGCCAACCCCTCTGAACATGGTTGTGCCATTCTGTAAGGTGGTTGCTATAAACGGCAAGGTCCATTTGATGAAGTTGAATCAATGGTGTGGTTTCTATTGTGGTCTATAATGCGTTGCAAGACATCTTCCTGAGACAGAATCCTCCTGAGTAAGATTTCCTATAGAAACTAAATACTATTACTATCAGCATGCATCTCCAGAGGCGTCTTTACCCGGCCCTAGGTCCACAAGACATCATCGAAGCAATAAAGACTGGGACATTTATGCCATGAAAACAAACAACTCACTTCCAAGATGACGTATTTTGGTCCTAAGCTTCAGACATGTGGCTGTGGCCCTGCAAATATGCACATACACACTTATATATACATACTTATATATATATGTTGTGAATATGCTCATTTCAGTTGCTGCTTTTCCTTGTAAATCTCCGGAGTCCATGCATGTTCCAGAAGGGGAGCACCAAACACAACATGTTCCATGAAAGGGATTTTGGCTCGGAGAGCCTTGGAGACAGCGGTGGGTGGGCAATTCACCTTGAGCGCCATTTTTGGAGGCTACGATTTGGCTGGGGTACAGCCTAGGTTGCTGCGTGGACGCAGATCGAGCTTTGGTGGATAAAAGAAGCTGTGAGGCGGCAGCTTGGAGGTGATAGGAAAGGAAACCAGTGATTCCCCAGGTGGCGCTACCCAATTCATATTGGTAGCGGAGCCCCTGGCGGAAAGTTGCCAGGGGCATCCAGGAGGCTACCTTTGGTGTGAGGTCTAGAGACTGCTGCAAGCGAAGTGATTGCAAAGGTTTTCTGAAAACATGCCTTCAGGTAGTGACGGATCAGTCGGAACGGAACAGGCCACCACAGGCATTTCAAGCCAACTCGCCTTCCTGGTTCCGACGTTTGATCCAAGCAAAGATGACATGCAGGTATATCAGCAGAAAGTACAGTTGGTTTTCTCGGTTTGGCCACCGTCAAAGATCTCAGAACTGATCACAAGACTCATCCTGAACACGACAGGGTCGGCATTCGCAAAACTGCAATTACATCAGGAAGAGCTATGTGTCAATGATGAGAAGGGAATCAAGTTGTTCATTGAACTGCTTGGTGGCCATTGGGGACAAATTGGACTGGAGCGTCGATATGCTGACGCAGAAAAAGCCCTTTTTCAATGTAGTCAACAAGGAGATGAAACTCACGATAGCTACTTAGCCCGAGCTGACATTCTTTGGACTCGTTTGTTGTCTCAGAAGATGAAACTGGAAGATTTACAAGCGTATGTAACCTTGAGGGGTTCCCAATTGTCGGCAGAAGAGAAAAAGCGCGTGATCATCGACAGTGACAATTCATTGGAAGGTAAGCTCACAATGTCAAAAGTCCGTGAATCAGTCCGAATGCTGGGTGCTTCATTTTTTCAGGAGATGACAGGTGTGAACAAGAAAACTCAAAAGGCAAAGGTCTATGATCAATCGGCCATGGTCCTAGAGGATTCTGAGAATCACCCGGAGAATGAAGATTTTGCACAGGTGACACATCACGAGGACTGGGCTGAAGATGATTTCATCGATGGCCTAGTACACGAAGGTGATGAGGATGCAGTTTTTGTGACTGATTTTGAAACAGCAGCTACGGATGTCATTCAGTCAGATGAAGATTTGGCATCAGCCTACTCTACATATGTTGAGGCGAGAAGAAAACTGAGTGAAAAATACCGTGCCAGAGGTTTTTGGCCTGTGAGCAAAGGGAAAGGTAAAGGTTTCAAAGGGAAAGGCAAAGGAAAGTTCCAATGGGGCAACAAAAAAACCCTACAGCAACGGATCCTGGAGAGCAATTGTCGTTTGTGCGGAAAAAAAGGACACTGGAAAAGCGAGTGTCCAAACAGAGGTCAGTCGTCCAGCCATGCCTCATCCGCTCCAGTGACGTTGTCAATGGCCAGCGCGAGTCAGAGATCCGAAGATGCCATGTCTGCAGAGTTTTTCATGCTGCCGGAAGTCCATTTGCCGAGTCAGGACCCACCGCAGACTCCCGAGATGTGTTTTGTACAGTCAGTTTTTCAATAATGATGTTCAAAAGCATGCGCATCCGATGTCAAGCCATAGCATGAGTGAAACCAGGGTAAGAATTAGGAACCATATTATGGGTAATAAGGGGCATAATTCAATGGTTGCAGCACTCGTGAACAGGATTGAAGACCGGATGTCCAAGTCCAATGCCAGCCGATCGCCGAGTCGCCTTGCCGTGAGTGACAGTCGTATGCCTGGTAGGTGTAAAGATAAGCCAGAAGGTTCCCAGCGACAGTCATATCAATGGGACTCAAAAGAAGTCCATGCACCAAAGGTGGCTGTGCCGATGAGCCCAACACCAAAATCAAGCCAAGAGGATGCTGATGCGTTCTTTGCGTCTCACGACACATGGGGAATACTTGATACAGGTGCCACCAAAACTGTCATGGGTAGCAGTCACGTATCCAGTTTCCTGCAACATGTCGATCCGAGTATCCGCAAGCAAATCCAAAGATGTCCATGCGATGTTGTGTTTCGTTTTGGGAATCAAGGCACTCTGAAATCAGAACATGCCATGGTAGTCCCTGTGTGCGGTTTTCACCTGAAGATAGCAATCGTGCCTGGAACGACACCTTTTCTCATATCGAACACGCTACTGCGTGCTCTGGGGGCAATGGTTGACACAGGAAGAAACCAGCTGATTCTGCCTCAGCACAATGCTGAAATTCCCTTGAAGCTGACAGACAAGGGATTGTACCTCATCGACATGAACATGTTGCTGACAGTCCAGCCACAGCCCTGGTCCCGGATTGCAGAGACTTTTGCACAAGAGAGTCAAGAAAAGAACACAGAAGTGCAAGACCAACCAAGCCAAATCAGGAGGGATGCCAAAGATGACATCAAGGAATCATCACCGTACACTCATCATAACATACTCAAAACCAGTAAAACACTCATGAAACATGTCATGACACAAAAAGGCCATGACGAATTGAAAACACCAAGTGATTCAATCCACTTTCAAGCCAACAAAGATCCAAAGTCAAAAGCTGTCAAAGGTGTGTCCTTTGAATCATCCAGTGCCAGATCAAACACGCTGAGTGAAATGCCTGAGCAAGGTTTGTCCGATCAAAGAGGGAATAAGTTTCAGCCAAACGTTTGCACCAGTTTTTCCCATGAGCGACTGGAATCAGAGATTGCAACGACTCCAGAAGGAGTTGCCTCCACCAGCACTGGAATCTCTGGAGCATCTCACCTTAGAGACCCTGAAGAACGAGAAGGTATCGTTTGGAAAAGCCCACAATGGCAGAACCTTCGAGGAGGTATGGAATTCATTTCCGGAGTGGACCCGATGGTTCCTGAACCATTACGAGCTGAGCCGCAACATCGAGCACCGAAAGATGATCAAGTTCATCAAGATGAAAATCGAGAGCATGGAGTCAGGGGATCCGGCTCAACAAATGCCGAATCAGCCTCGTCCAAAGCCAGCGCCCAAGTCGCTGACAGCCAAGTCCAAAGCCATGCCGATGCCAAGCCAGGTGTCCACCATGGAGACCAACATGCCGTGGATGGAGGACAATGTGGTGACTCAAAGGCTGGATCAGTTCCAGGAACGCATGTGCAATCTGGAAAATGCGCTCCATCAGATCCTCGTCCATTTGACGCCTCATGTGGCCACCGGTGCACCCGAGACCATGGCGATGTCAACAATTCCAGCGGTCTCCGAGATCGACGATCCCTGGAACACCCTCGAGGAGGAGGAGGACTACGTGAACAATTGAAGTCGTCCCCATCTGACGATCGCAACTGGGTGTTACAAGCCGGTGAGATTGACAGTTTCTGCAGCAGTGACCCAAACCAAGAACGGAACCGATTTTGGTACTTAGTTCAAAAGATTGAAAAGGAACTTGAACAAAGTCAGGAAAATACCACTCCCATGGGCAAACCATATGACCTGTTTGAAGTGTTTTGTGGTTCCGAGAGCAAGTTGACGGAACAAGTGCAAAATCTGAAAGGCCAATCCAAAAGATTTGGCCTCGACCAAGGTAACCTGCAGACGACTGAGGGCCGGAGACATCTGTTTACAGAGGTCTGTCGACATAAGCCAAAGAACATATGGATGAGTCCTGTGTGCCAACCATGGTCACAATGGTCAAACCTGAATAGCCACCGATCAATTGAACTGTGGAACAAGATTCATGAAGAGAGACATGAGATGCTCATCCAAGTTGCCTTATGCCTGGTTTTGTGCCGACACCAGCATCGAAATCAACGTCATGCACATTGGGAACAACCCCGAGGGTCTCACATGATGCTTCTTCCATACTTGAATGAAATTTTCCAATACATGCTGTGTGCAAAGCCCGACATGTGTACTGCAGGAGATCTCAGGGATCCAGTCAATCAAAAGTTCATGAGAAAGAGCATGAACATCATGACGACATCCCAAAGACTATATGATGTACTTCAGTACCATAAGTGTGAGGGTGACCATGAGCATCAATCCATCGAGGGGTCGACGTATGTGCATGGCCTGCGGGTTTTGCGATCTCAGTTTTCTGAAGATTATCCACGGAAGTTTGCAAGACTGGTTGCCAAGACAGTCATGAAAGCAAAGTTTCCCATCGATAAACCGGTGGGCACATTGGCCGATCCAATTTTAGTTGCATTCGATGTTTGGAGCTCAATCAGTCAAGCCAATGCCGTGAGTGATCGTCCTGCCAAGCGTCCGAAACTGTTCCAGCCACGTGTGAGTAAAGCCTCTGCCGAAGACAGGTCACTCGACAAGACACCCGTGCCAAAAAGACTAAGGTTGAAACAACCTGAGGGAGACAAGGAGACACCAAACAAACAAACGGAAATAGATCCGAGAATCAGTGAAATCGTATCCATGATTGAGAGTCAACTTCCTAGAGTTGGAAAGAAGTTTATCACACAACCCAAAGTTCTCCAGTTGATACAAGAGGTCATGCCTGAAAAAATCATTCATGGGGTTCTAGCATGTAAGGGAACCGAGAGGACCATGGCACCCCCAGATAACATAAGTCCCAAAGAGGCCCCTTTCAGACGAGCCATCATGAAGCTTCGTAGCACTGGAAAGATCATCATGGATGAATGGGAAAAGTATGACGAACTTGCAAAACGTAAGGTAATCCGCAAATCCAAACCTTGCCGAGTGAATATCACTGTTTTTGCGGCCAATCCTGTAGCAAATGCACCCAGAAGTGGATCCTTGCCCACGAGCGAAGGAGAGCCGGCCTCAGGCTCCCGGATGGAGTCACCAGCTAGTCCTGAGGGATCACCAAGAACTCCCAGAACAGATGATCATGCATACGAACCGATGGATAAAGAGCCAAGACCAGAGAACATTGACAATCACAATTCTGTGAGTTCCAAGAGTGACCCTACAATCCCGCTGGGAGAAACCAAGCCACCTGTCACTGGAAACAGGTTCATGGCTCTCAATCGTGAGGAGCAAGCAATGTTGCGCCGTGCACATCAAAATTTGTGCCATCCAAGCCCTGAACAACTGAGTGCAGTTTTGCGTGCACAAGGAGTGAGACCAGAAGTGTCTCAGGCGGTGTTCGATTTGAAATGCCCGACATGTGCAGCTCATCAGAAACCCAAGGTCGCAAGACCTAGCACGTTGAAATCAGAACTTGACTTCAATGACAAGATTTTCATTGATGGCATCACTTGGACAAACAAAGCCGGGAAAAGTTTTCATTTCTATCACTTGATCGATCAAGCCACCAACTATCATGTCGCACTGCCTGCACCATGCCGAGCTGCTGAGCAAGCTGTACAGTGTGTCCTGGAAGGATGGTTCCAATGGGCAGGTCCACCGAACACCATGGTGACGGATGCCGCCACAGAATTCACAAGTGAATTGTTCAACAATTTCCTTCAAAGATATGATGTTAAAGGAATCACCACAGCACCACATGCACACTGGCAAAACGGAAGGTGTGAGAGACATGGACAGATTCTACAAAGTATGTTGGACAAGATTGATCATGACATGCCCATTCAAACCTACACAGATCTACATCAAGCCCTGGCACAGAGCACTCATGCCAAAAACACCCTGAGCATTCGCAAGGGATATTCACCCCAGATTCTGGTGTTCGGAAAAAGCTCACGAGTTCCTGGGTCAGTTGTGAGCTGTGAGACAGAAGCGTCCATGGCCAGTGCAGACCGGGAAGATGCTCACGGCATCAGCTTCCGCAAAAGTTTAGAGCTTCGCGAGAAGGCCAGGGTTGCTTTCCACAGGGCTGATAATGATATGGCTTTAAGAAGGGCATGCTTGCGAAGAACCAGACCAGATCGTGATGCATATCTCCCAGGAGAGTGGGTAATGATGTGGCAGCCTTCCAAAGATAATGGATACTGGTTTGGACCCCTGAAAGTAGTAACCCAAGAGGATCAAAATTCAGTGTGGGCAACACAAGGTGGAAAGATCTACCGACGCGCCCTCGAGCATGTCCGGCCAGTTTGCTCCACCGAGGCAAGTCAAATTCCGACTGAAGAAGAAACATCATCCTATCCAGAAACCGCACAAAGTACCACCATGTCCAGTAACCTCATTCCAGACAGTACCAATAACATCAATAACTCTAATAGACCCATAAGAACTGAAGTTAACGACAATGACAATAATATTCCCGACACACCCAGTGAGAGAGAGAGCCAATCCCAAGATCAGCCAGATCTTGAACCTGAAGTGAGCACTCCAACAGAGCAATCGATGCCATTGGAAATGACCGATCCTGCAGTAGAAACACCCGTTCCAGAACCTCCAGTGGATGATGACTTGGTCACGACCCACCTCCTATGTTGCGAAGACGACATATTCATGGTGGACCCTCTGGAAACACCCTGTGCGTGGCGATGTGAACTCGAGGTTCCAGGCTGGATGGAAAATGAGAATTTTGGTCAATGGTCACCAGATGAAATTCTGCTAGCAACGACCGAGAAGAAACAAAGAACTGAGGTGAAACTCACCACGTTAAATACCGAAGAACAAAAGGCCTTTGCAGAAGCCAAAAATGCAGAAATCCAAAACTGGTTGAAGACGGGGACAGTGTCCAAAATACTCCGATCCAAACTAGCTCCAGAACAGATCCTAAGATGCCGTTGGATTTTGACATGGAAACCCAGAGAAGACCTGAAACAAAAGGATGCATCCAGTATCCAAACCAAACTCCAAACACACAAACCAAAAGCCCGTTTGGTGGTCTTGGGATACATGGACCCTCAAATAACTGAAGTACCACGTGACAGTCCAACACTGGGAAAACAATCAAAAATGATAATATTGCAGTTGATTTCATCAATGGGATGGAGCTTGGGGTCATTTGATATCAAGGCAGCGTTCCTACAAGGGAAGCCGCAAAGCGATAGAATCATTGGCCTGGAACCGGTAGTAGAGTTGGCAAAAGCTCTGAACCTCAAGAGTCATGAAGTGTGCCGCCTGGACAAGTCAGCCTATGGCCTGATAGATGCACCGTTCCTGTGGTTCCAGACCTTGAGTGAAGAACTGCTGAGTTTGGGGTTCACGGCATGTCCATTTGATCCATGTGTTTTTATCCTCAGGAAACCTCATAGTCAAGACCTTGCCGGAATTCTGGGAATCCATGTGGACGATGGAATATATGGGGGAAACCAATTTTTTCATCAGCAGATTGCCAAACTTGAAGCCAAATATCCTTTTGGGTCCAAAAAGTCTCGAAGTTTTACGTTCACCGGAATTGACCTTCAACAAAATACTGATAACAGCATTGAACTATCACAATCAACTTACGTGAAAAATATCAATCCAATTTCCATGAAGCCAGAACGCAGAGCCCAAGAGAATGCCAATGTGACTGAGGAAGAAAGACACCTGTTAAGAGGCCTAATAGGTTCTCTGCAGTATGCAGCTGTACATACCCGACCTGATCTCACGAGTGCACTCAGCCAATTACAATCCCAAATCAATAACGCAACCATTTCCACTTTGATCATGGCCAATAAGACCCTTCACACAGCCAAGAAACACAGTGACGTGAACATCAAAATAAATCCCATCAAACCTGAGGACTTGAGATTCATTGCGTTTTCCGATGCATCGTTTGCATCCAAAGTGAAGCCAGAGTCATATGCCGGGATGATCATCCTCGCGACTCACAAAGAAATCGCCCAAAATAAATCCTGTGTAATCAGTCCAATTTCATGGGGAACCAAAAAAATTCAGCGAGTCGTGACAAGCACGCTCTCAGCCGAGACATCCGCTTTGTCAACCACCTTGGATCAGCTGACATGGGTACGTGTATATTGGGGATGGCTCCTCAATCCAAAGATACCATGGCAAAAGCCAGAAACTATCCAATCACTACCTGAGGCAGTGACAGTTCCCACGATTAAGATTGAAGAAAAGGATTTAGCCATTACTGATTGCAAAAGTCTCTATGATCTTACAACCCGAACAGCAGTCCCAAATTGCCAGGAATTCCGAACCCAATTGCTTGCCAGATCGATCAAGGATGTGTTATCAGAGGGGATCAAACTTCATTGGGTACATAGTGGAGCTCAGTTGGCCGATGCACTGACTAAAGTCATGGAGGCACAGTTCTTACGTGAAACTCTACGTCAAGGGCGCTACTGTCTTCACGACATCCATGAAGTTCTCAAAAACCGAGCATCCGCTCGCAACAGAATGAAATGGCTCAAAACCACAAATGATGAAATGAGCATCAAGCCATAAAAATTTTGAATTGTTGGGAATGTGATTATGCTCATTTCAGTTGCTGCTTTTCCTTGTAAATCTCCGGAGTCCATGCATGTTCCAGAAGGGGAGCACCAAACACAACATGTTCCATGAAAGGGATTTTGGCTCGGAGAGCCTTGGAGACAGCGGTGGGTGGGCAATTCACCTTGAGCGCCATTTTTGGAGGCTACGATTTGGCTGGGGTACAGCCTAGGTTGCTGCGTGGACGCAGATCGAGCTTTGGTGGATAAAAGAAGCTGTGAGGCGGCAGCTTGGAGGTGATAGGAAAGGAAACCAGTGATTCCCCAGGTGGCGCTACCCAATTCATAATATGTATATATATATATATATGTATATATATATATGCATATATATATATACACATACACACATGATTTGATATCTGGTCTTCCCCGTGACTTACCACTGAACGACTGCCCTTCTTGAGGACTATTACGGACTGAATCTAATGAAAATATTGCAACGCAAGTGTCCGATTCTGGCACAGGTTGCGTTGCAAGTACCGGTGGAGCTATCTGACGTGCCAGTTTGCTTCCAGGCCTGTGGTTTCTGTACTTTGGGACACAATTGATTGTTTGCTTCGCGTAGTGTTTTTTGATTCTCCACGCCAATGTATCTGCGTGATATGAGGAGGGTGTGCAATCACCGGCCTATTTGACAGAGGTGGGACTAAGTGCCGCCCTGGATTTCCAATGTGATGATTCCTCATAGGGTTGGAACATTTGCACGCCTTGAACTTGTCCAACACAAGGTAGCACCAGAGGCTTGGGCACGTGTTCGTGCCCCATCCCATACTGAACTAGTGGCAAATGCTTCTCGCCTCGTTCATACAAAGCAATCTGCTTTCTGGCTAGCTCTTGCAAATCCCTCTAAACAAAAGGGGGGCCTGGGGAGTTGTCTGGAGTGTAATGCTGACTGGGACAGTTATATTTATTCAAATTTGCTGGTAATAGAGCGAGTCTACAAGTACTGTAGAATCTACAACAGCTACAGGGATCCCTTTTCGCCCGTGATGCGAAATGCTCAGAGATTGAAAGGAGCAACGCAACATCACCTCTGAACTCATTCGTGGTAGTGCCTGTGGGGCAAGGACAGACGCATTTTGCCTTCCCAAAGGAAACTTCCAAAACTTCCAAAGGAATAAACGATGTCAGTTCTTCATGATCCTCGCAGTTGGTGATCGATGTCAGTTCAATGCAGGACCAGAGAGCTCGGACAACCCTGTGGGCAATGCGATGCTTCTCGCATGGAGAGGCGCTCTGGGGAGACATGCCGCTCAAACTGTACTGACTTGCACTGCAAAAGAGTTTGCCAGATACAGCTGGAAACCTGTCAACATCCAAAGTCACAGCGTTTGCCAGGCCAGAGTGCACAAATACAACAGCGCCTCCTTACAGGTTCCGCAGCGCTGATTCAAAAACTTATGTCTTTTTGGTCTGTTCCTTTTGCAATTTGCTGTCGCATGGCTTTAAAGAGCTCTTCCTGTGTGAGACACAGACAGACACGGACCTAGAAGCAGAACCTAGAAGCACAACCAATCCTTGTGACATGAGATGGTTCCTGGGTGTTTGCACAGCGCGCCTTTTTGAACTGACCGCCACGAGGTCCAGGCAAACTCTCAACAGGGAAGAATTAGTTTGAATCAGTGGAGGCATACGGTGCACATATTCTTGGATGGTCTCTATCTCTCTCTCTCTATATATATATACTGTATATGTATACATATAATATATATATAATATACACTGTATATGTATACATAATATATATATATACATATATTATATATATACACATTATATATATACATAGTATAAATCTAGAATAATTTAGAACAGGCACTGTTTTGCCCAGCAGCACCTCGGCGCATCCTTTCATGTGTGGGCGTCTGGTCCCATTCCCCAGGCATTTCTACCATTGAGAAAGATCAGCATCAGCAGATCATCAGCATCAGCATCAGCTCCCTCACTCAATCTCCCTGACATGAAGTAAAGCTTTCAGTCAGTCGAAGCATTATTGAAAGCTCTTTGAGCACCAAGATCATGTGGACAGCAGCATTTTCTCACCTGTTTCCGGCAGGATATTTCTGCCTGCGGCTGCTATGGCAGTTTCTTGGCTGGACCTGCTGGAAGCCAGTATCGCCAAAACTGTGTTATAGGGCGCGTTCAGACCAAGACGATATTGGCAGATGGATATATATATATGATATATATATAATATATATATATTATATATATATATATACAAACATAAATACATATACATATACATACATGCATATACATGTATATATATAGACACGTATATGCACATATATGTATACATGTTACGCAAACATGTATGTACTTTCTGCATTGCTCAAACTTAGTGCAATCAAAATCTCAGGTTGACCGTATCTAGACCCTCCCCTGTCCTTCCGCTTGTGCTTTTCTGTCAAGACTTCATGTGGCAAACAGGTGGAAATCCACTCTTACCTTTGCACAAACAGGATGTGCAAAGCTCTGCCAGTTTTAAGGCCTCTTCGCTTTGGCTGCCGATGCTGGCCGTTTTTCTCTCTCTGTTTTCTTGAGAGCCTAACTTGGTCTAACTTGATATCCTGGTCTGAAGCCTGGCATAGGTAAAATGCTGGAGCCAATTTGGGTCATCTCAGTGGACATATTTCGCTTTTGGAAGGCAAACATCTGAACATATCGAAGACCATGGTACTGCCAATGACAAACCCCTGTTGGAAAAATCGAGATATGGAACCGTTCAAGCGACCATTGCTGCGAAATTGGATTTTTGATACCTCCAAAGAGAGAATCCTTTGGGCTTTGAATCTCCGAAGGGAGAGTCAAAGGCGCACAGTTGCGAGATAATGCTGGCAAAGTCAGCAGTGGGTTTGAGGGTTGCGAGCGAAAAGGGTGGTGAAGGGTCAAACCTTCCACTGGGAAAGAGAAAATTTTGAATGATTTTGATACAAGCTGGTGCAAACGGATGCAGAAATGCTTTTTAAGAAGGCTAAGGCATGCAAGAAACCGATCTTCATTTGCTTGTCCGTTTGAGATAGAACTTCGTATGCAGCTTGTCAAAGAACTGAGCATTCACGAAGTTGTTTCATTCCGACGCTAACAAGACAAGAAAGAAGAGAAAGCAGGCAGAACTGTTGATTGCCACATTGCCAGTAGCAAGCCTGGAAACTTTTCAGCTTCTCTCACCGAATCCATGTGGCCCATCACAGGCCCCTATGCTGCAATCTGCGGCTAGCTTTTGAGAAAGCGGCTTACACATGCATATGATCAACACATAAACATATATAAAATAACACAAACACATAAACACGCACCACATACCGCCACATACCCCAGAATCGACCCCCATGTGATGCCCCACTACACAAGAATAGTACCGCATTCCAAGTTTCAGCGTCGCCATGGAGTCTGAAGATGCCTGAAGCGACATACTGGACAGTGCCTCATCCAGTATACCTAACATAACAGAAAGTGTAGGCCCGTAGGCTTCTCATGGGAGTGGTAGCCGGGATCAAGGGTGTCTTGAGGCTTCAAATGTCTCACGCTAAATGTCTTTCTCGCAAGTACTGGTGGAAGAGTTTCTGGATCTGGACATAGAGTACTTATTGGTACTTTATGGTCTCCATATGGTCTCCATGGTGATGAGTGTGGATGTATTTTGTTGGGATAAGCCTGGGGCCTAGAGAGGGGTTCCAGTCCTGTAGGATGGTGTGCCCAAGCAAGTTTTTTTGGTTTTTTTTGGTTATGGTTAATGCATTGTTGTCCTTGTAATCTCATTCATCACCAGTAAACATTTTAGCGTTCGTGGTCACAGTCATCATTGTGGTCATCATTGTGGTCATCATTGCCATAGTTAGAACAACAACCCCAACATTCATCCTTCTTGAAAATTCCTAGTGACATGGTTCGAAACCATTGGACTTTGACTCCTGACCCTCCTGGCAGAAACAAGACATTGCTGTGGTTTTGATAGGGGTATGAAGCAGGTGGATGCCACAATATTCTCACACATGCTCACTTGAAGCAAGCTGAGATCAGAACATAGGCCAACAAAAAACACATCGGACACAAACGGACAAGCAAGTAACCAACAACAAAGAGCAACAAAGAAAGCAATCAGTCATCACAACCCAGTCAGTCGAGTTATGCAAGGTATTTGGATGCTCTTTGCACAGTGCACTCTTCACTCTGAATCAATCAGGCACTAGAACTGGCAATTTGAGTCTGTGCCACACCACACCTGCTAGATTCGATTCTTGTCGAATTTGGGAGGGGTTTGCTCACCAACTAGCGACAAACATAAAGATTACGAACGAAACAGTTATCGCTGGGCAGCCCGGCAGGAAGGGGGGCAAGCAAAAACCACTACCTACAAAGATCTACAAATCAGATAGAAGATGATAGAAGCGGAAAGCGCGGTCGCAGTTGGACACGACCCAAGCAGATTGTAAATTTGGCAGATCCATGGGTCTTTTGGGTCTTTATGCAGCTTCTTTATGCTTCCATTCAGGTACCCCGGCCCTGGCGGCAACCGCGGGATTTTACTGAGGCAGGAGGTGGTCTCTTTTGAGTTGAAGCCTTCTGGACTTTGACTTTTGACTTGAACTTAACAACATGTCATACAAAATAAATCAAAATATATCAGACATTATCACACATTATCAAACTATGGGAAACACATGGAAATACGAAGGAGACTAGATCCAGCTAAGGGAACTTCCTTTTGGCAGATGCGCCTCCATAACCCAGGCAAGTTTACTTGAGAGTTGAAAAGAAAATCTGCCCTGGCATCGGCTCAATAGGATGAAGAGTGAGAACTATATAAAATAAATACCTCATTGATCCTAGACTGTAAACAACCTGTCTCTGCAATCACTTGCTTTGAGAAGACGTCCTCAGAACTCTGTACATGAGGGCCTTGGTGCTCCACATCACTACGTACAGTAGACGTACGTTTTGAATTTAGAGATTTGTTTTTCCTCCTTGGTTCTGATGGCCTTTTTTTACGATCACCCCCATGGCTGAAGAGAAGAATTCATGGAAAGACCATGCCATTCGCCATCCATGGGCTGTTTTCGAATCGCAATTGACCATGCTGCCCGGGCCGCCGCTTGCCCTTGTCTGCAGTTTTCAGCACATGAGTCATCATGAGTCCATGGATCTGAACCCCAGAACCCTCGTCTTCTCTATGAAATTATGACAGCTTTTTGAATTGCGGACATACAGCATTTGAGAATCTTGTTTGATCTTGTTTGGGTTGCTCTCTGCAGAATTGTTCTTGATACACTGTTCTGACTCCACATTCCTTTGCAGCAATGCAGCGTTTGCAGCGTTTAGTGCAGCATTTGGATGGTCAAGACGCTTGGCAGTGGTGAAGCTTGTGACTCCAGAGCAATGTCCTTTAAAGCGGTGGCAAACTATCATAGCAACAAGAAACCGCAATTAACCTTCCATGGTATCAAGATCTGAGTAAGCTAATTGAAGACGGAGAAATTGGTGACATCGGATCTCTTTTGTGTTGAAGATTGTGACCAGTCTTGAGCTTCACAACTGTAGAGTTGTTTTTCATGCCTCTGCCTGGCTGCAGCGACCTCTTGAGATGATTGCCGGACCTCATATGATATTGACATTGACATACTGTATATTGACTGTAAACTCTTTCTTGTTTGGGTACCTCTGCCTGTGCAAGTGACGCCAAACCTTGGGGTTATTCGGTGCAATTAAGCTGGCCAGCTTGAAGCATGGTAGAATTCTAATCCTGACAACAGTGCTGTTCTAGTTCCACCCAGTTCCACCGAGTTTCCAATTTCGCGCACGATTCTTGCACCTGAGGCCGTTTCTTCCTTTTACGCATCCCCATTGCCTACACTGCAGTCATGTGCAGCAGTGCAAAGCCTTGAAAAGAGAGACAGGACTGAGACTTTCGATTTCAGTTTCCAATATCTTCCAATTTCCACATGCATCCCGCTTGGAAGCTACCCATGTTTCCTTGTAAGCCTTGTAAGCCTTGTAAGCCTTGTAAGCCTTGTAAGCCTTGAAATTGAACCTTGCCCACTACCCGTCACTACCCTGCATAGGAGAGCCGCCTACATTGAAGTTGCAAAGAAGTACGTGGCAGATATTCACAGGCTTGATTCAGCTTATATCAGCTTGATCTGGTTGGTAGGCCCAGCATTCCTTCGGGATGAACTTGCAGCTGTCGAGGCTTCGAACAAGTGGAGAAGTGCCTTCCATGACGATCTATGAAATGCTCATGATGATTCCGCCCGGTTCACGAGGTGCGCACTGCACTTTTTCTGATGCATTGAGTCATGGCGAAAGCAACTTCCACTCACATTCAAGCTTCTACAATGCGCGGAAACAAGTTGAACAGCATGGTCTTCAAATAAACACCGTGCGTGTCAGTTCCTTCAAAACTTCAAGATTTTGCATGATTCTTCAACTTGTAACTCGTTGAAACTCGTTGTAACTCGTTGCAACTCGTTGCAACTCGTTGCAACTATTGTAAAGTTCTAGCTGAAATCAAAGCTGTACCCACCATTTTGCCTCATGCCTTACTCAGGTATCGGCCTGGGCAAATACTTGGACCGTGCAGAGGTGCCGTGGGTTTTGGATAGTTTTGGTGTTGATTTGGCCAGTGACATCCGGTGACATCCGGTGACATCCGGTGACATCCAGTAGCCACGTGCAGGAAGTTGAGCTTTTCTGATGAATTCATCAATTTCTATGAATTTATACTAGTTATACTGATACCAATTTATGTTGGTTCATAATTACTTGCAAGATTAAGGAGTCGAAAGAACTCATCAGCCAAGAGGTTCAGGCTGTGGTCCATGAAAATCAGCCAAGCAGCTAGACATTCTAGTTAGAAATTGAAGATACACTTCCCAGAAGATGTGCCAGCACCTGTTTGAATGACAGGTCGCCGTCATTAGGTTTGGACACCTTTACATTCGTGCACATATTCTACTTATACTTGTCAGTATTTGACGAACACCATAGCAACATTCAATGTTGTAATGTTTTTCAAGAATTCAAAACACAATCTGTTTTGGTTTCCATCCTTGAGATTGCGGTCTCCTCTAGTAACTCTAGTACTTCTTCTTTTCGTTGCCACTTTATCCCTGTATGCTCCTGGAATCCCGACAAGACTTTGCATGATCTTTGTTTGGCGCATATGGAGGCAGATGGCAGTTTGGCACCACTCAACTTGCTGCCAGGGCCATGGCATGGGGCAAAAGACCGTGAGGACCATAGACATTACAAATCTGTATCCAAAATATGTAATTCTGAAGCATTTGACTTTGAATTTGAACATTTTTGATTCCAAAGTCAAATCACTCTGGCGCGTAGGAGAAAATCCGCTTGCTTCAGCTGGACCTTATCGCACAAGAAGAAGGCCAGCACCTACAGTGACTTGTCCGCGCAGTCAACGAAGAGGTTGAGTGATGGTTATGTACATCTGGAAGATGCAGGTCGGTGCGCTGCAAGTCAAGTATTGGGTGAAGTCGTGTGGTGATGACAAATTGAATTGGTTTTCTGAGCCTCAACCTGTTCCCCTGGACCGCCAAGTGAGTGTCTATATGCCATAGTCGTCAAGACTCGGATTGTATACCCATATGGGGATGGGCATAGGGATTTATATACCCATCATAAGGATTCCCATTATCGCATGTTAAACCACATACCATGTCTCGACCATGGCACATATATGTATATATACGTTTTTCTACGGAGAACAGCAAGAAGTTTTCTTGCGTTTGGCAATTGAAAGTTTAGGCCATATGATATTACAATCAGTTTCTCAACGAAAGCTAAGAAACAGGAAGAATGAAAGGGGATGACGTGAAGAGAAAGAGAGATGTTTTTTTTTTTTTTCTGGCCTCGTTTCTCATTTTGACTTCTTTGTATCTTTTGCAAGTGGGGCCAAGCTGGGTGTTTCTGGGTGGCACGTTAGAGTCGTTAGAGTGTCTGTGTCGGAGCAGTTTCTTGTCCTTTACTGGTAGAGTGCAATGTATTGAAGGCCAGGTGAGTGAAGGGCCTTGATGACACCACAGGACCACAAAGACTCATCTCTTTCTTGAACGGTCAATTGGATACTTCCAGGCCTTCCACTGAGAGCGTGTATCCAACATGTCCTTTGAGCCACCAAAACCAAGCAGAGCAACACATCAAACGCAGCGCGGCTGCTTGCTGCCTTCGTCGCGCCTTATGAGAAGGCCATTTGGTCGTCACATGCAGCTCAGGTTGTATTCAGCATACCAGCTTCGCTGCTTGGAAGCATTGGCCTAAAGGAGCCATACGCTCGAGAACTCAAAAGATAGAATGATTGCAGCATATGCTGCATATTGCTGCCCGGCAATAGATGTAGAGTTGGCATTCAGCTGCAGGCTACGGAGACAAGGGATTGGGTAGCAACATCGCGGTGCCGAGCGTTGTAATGCACAGCAACGTCACCAAGAAGGCTCGGTGGTGATCACACACAATCAGAGAGACAAGACCGATGACCGGCTGAGCGCCAATTTCCGAATGTTTGGTGATGTTTGGTGTCACTCTGTCGAGTTCAAAAAATATATGAACAAGCCTATCTATAATAACGTACACGAATCACTAATGGTGTGGAACACGACACTAATAGTGCATACAGAATAATTTGCATGGTGTTATGTTTCCTCTTGACCTTCTGATGGACGCTATTCTCTTTCCAAGTGTACGGAAGCGGTTGATGCTCGAACAAGGGTCAACGGTTAGTAGAGATTTCCATGGTGGGGGTGCCGATCACATGTTCATGGGCGTGTCAAAAGGGGTGCAAAGGCACATAAAGGCACAGATGTAGACCGATGCATGCGAAGACATACATGTGCAGCAAATGTATCCATGCATTGATGAAAATTGCAGGATGCTGTGTAGTTTCAGAGCTTAAGAAACTGTATATACTTGTGAAACCACGTTCCGAGATAGTACATGGTTTTCTTTTCTACGTTTGTTCTTGTGCCGCGCGCTGCATTGAATGGGGCACTGCACCCGTACCCTATTTTCCCTCCCGCTGACACAGATGATGGAACCGCCCACGCGTTTCAACTCATTAATGCATGTCGATGTCCATGTCAAGAAGGGAACGAGAAAATTTTAATCGTGATGTTGTTTGATATTGTACTGTATATTATTTTTACATTATTTTACTATTACTTTTTTCAAAACTATCATATTGATGTTTTTGATATCATTTGATGCTGTTTGATATATTCAATATTCTGAGATTCTGCTCACATTTTCCTCTTGATCTGACAGGTGCTGGAGAAGGAGGTCCCCAATTTCTTCGACTCTGCAAATGCTAGGCTCCCAGCACCGGCACCGTTGCGCAATCTCAACTTTCATTGCAGTGCTATGATAGCTAATATGGTTATGTGTGTGTACATAGATATTATGATACAGGACATCTTTGATCTTTGATGAATGCGACAGGGCAGGAGCCCTTGGCTCTTTTGTCGGTGGTTGTGGACCTACTATATATTTGTATGCAAGCAAAGCCCATTTTCAAAAAAAACAAAGCCGTTTAGTTTGGTTGCAGCGTGAGCCAAACCAACGCCGGTGGATCTTTGTGGGTCACTGTTGCTAAGGTTACGAAGGTGATTGCCCGCATTCTTGTTGCAGATGCAGAGGATGCTGAACGCATCTCACGAATTCATGTGCGGAAGGAACCCAATTTTGGAGGCACAGAGGGACAGAATCACAGATGGGATGACAGCCAGAAGGCATCCACAGATTGCGCTGAAATGGTCCGCAATCCCACAAGATTTCTTTGTATTCTGCAACTATTTCTGTGTTCGCCAAGGGGGGAGGATTGCCCTTTCTGGGTGCGGTGATGGCCTACTTTTCAGTACCAGTACCACAATGCAGCAAATCTTGCAACTCTCTTGTCTAGCAGGTGTCTGGTTCCTGTTCCATAGACAAAACTAACAGCCATTCAAAATCCGAGAGATAATGAAGGAGTCCCTGGAAATATAGCAAACAATGTGTCACATGACAACGGGTTGACAACGAACGCATCAGTCTTTAGGATATGCATACATACGTGTATGGCACTTGTATTGTTGTAGCCAATTTGATTAATCTTCTGTGCTGCCAAAGGCACCGAAACACTTTTTCCTGATTTCTATGCTCTGTGATCTCCAACCTTCTCACACCCAGTGACACTGGGACCTTTGAAGCATTTCCATGGTTGAGAAACTTTGTCCGCTCTTAGTCCAACTGATTTGAAGGCCCAGATCTTGTGAAGCCTATGCCAACGTGCCATAAGCAACAAGACCGGATCCATCAGCCTGTGGTGGTCCACCAGTCATTCATTAGCGACTGCTGTATTTTACTCTAAACTTATTTTATATTATGCTGATACAGTACTGTAATGACTGTAGTGTACTGTATTTCTTTCGCTGTGCAGGTTTGATGGATAGCATCATATCTACCACAGACAACGACCACTGGCGCCAGCAACGGCAGCACTTGATAGAAGCCTTCATGCCCCTCTCGCCGGGTCCTGAATTTCCACGGTGGTTGGGATGCATCTTCAGTCATCTTGAATTCGCATGCCCGCTTGGTTGAAAGAGTTGCTGATATCTGTCGAAGAGTTGCAGTTAGAGCGTGATATAGCTTTGATCAGGACGCGATTTATCAATGATTGGCAGATAGCCCAAAAAACGTCTTGCCCAATGCGAAACCCATGAGCCGAGAACAGATAGACAGCAAGTCTGTCCCCTCCAAACCTGTCGGATCTTCGAGAAAACTACGTAGTTTCGCTACCTCGTATGATTGGGTTTGGAAATGTTTGGAACTGTCATCGCTAGAATGTTCAATGTACCAAAGCATGAAATGCATTCAAATGCACCACGGACCACGGAACACAGCCGGTTTTCTCAAGTTTTTCCCGAGGTCTTTGGCTCAGATTCTGCCAGTCTCGCTGGCTCGCGCGAAGGACAGGGCTGAAATCGCAACAGTTGATCTGCGATCCAGTCCAGGGAACCCGCACAAAATTATTTTACAACATATTTACATATTTACTAGTTCCCCCCTGAATGTAACGTATGTACAACAAACAACGTCAAACGACTATGAACCCACTGAGACAAGACTTCTAGTTTGTGGTTTTGCATTCGGATACCCACTTCAAACTAGCCCGCCTTTTGCACAATTATCATCAATTATCTAGAAACTTGCCAAGCATGTACGCGTATACTGTATACTGGTATACTTGTTATGTGTGCCGAACCTGTACCAAGGGTGCTTACTTAAGGGGGTTCACGCAGCTGGTAACTCCTTGTCGCGTCACTTTTGGTCATCGTTGAAATTGAATCGATCAAATACATTGAAGGGCCGCTTGCAGAGTCACGGGTTGATTCCCTGCTGTTTTGTCCAACATTGCGTAACTCAAAGCACAGAAAGGAACCTGTTTGAATCATTGCTTTGAAGGAGTGCTCCCAGCGTTTAGCCAAATTGGCGAAGACCGGTCCTGTTGACATGAGCGATTTTTTGTTGCCGCTTGGTTTTGCATTGGTTTGTCAGGTGCGGTGATTTTGTTTGGCTTTCCTTGTGGAAAAGGCCGAAATTATCCTTGAGTGGTGACTACAGTAAACCCATCTAAACCCACCAGTGCTGACGTTTTTGTTCCCGCTTGGCATGCCTCCGACTCCGTCCTAGGCATGAGGCGCAAGCTCAACTTCAACTTGCTCTCTTGGGAATTCCAGAGGAAATCATGGACCAAACAAATGCAGGCCCAAGCTTCCAAGCTTCCCAAGCTTCCCAAGCTGCATGCAGTGCTTTGTTTCCCATCATGTCAAACCTTCAAGGATGCGAAAGGGAATCTCACAAACGACATCTTTCACCACAACTGAAAGCTCCAGTCATTTGACTTTAGTACTTTAGTGGATTCCACCATCCAGTCAACAACCTGCTCAACAGTACCGCTAGAAGAAGGTGCTAATCACAAGAATAGTGGATCATCGATGAGAGGAATAAAATGAGCTACTTGAGGCATTGAGGTGGCAAAAGCCACAATTTAGACGAAACTTGTCTCATCCTCAACAAACACCCTCTGCGACCTTTTTGACATGTCTAGTGGAGATCCTGAAGCTTTCTACAAGCTTATGCAATTTCATGCCTGGAATTGGGATTGAGATGGAGTGCTGCAAGTCTGTTGCTGGCTTCCAAAAAAGAAAAGGACACACCTATTCAGACTATTGTGCAACATCATGCAACACTGCTACTGTACCAGCGTCGCTACATTTTCATGTTCTTGTGCCTTATCGAGTTCGACAGGCATTCGCAAGACATTCATGTTGAACCCGGATGCAAAGATTGGCCATTTGAGCGATTCAATGCTCCCTGGCAAGATGCGGTTCTTCCTGCTTAGGCACCTTATGATGTTTGAACATTTGGCTCTTGGCTGCTCTTGGGGGTTTCGCGTGAAATCTCTTTGGGTTTCATTAAAATCTTTGACCCACGAACATGCTGATGGAAGCTGTGACTATCAGAACCTTTGGTGTTGCTCATGCAAAAAACGATTTTGCACGACCAGGTAAACACATGTTTTACTTTTCTGTTGGTTTCGCGCTTGAGTTCTATGTTCTGTGGCCTTGCTCGGTACTCAATCAAAAGAACCTAAGCCGAAGGCGCATTTTCGCACAATTCAATGCAATACCAATATGACAATATGTATATATGTATATATATATGTATTGTTTTTCAAGGCAATATATGTACTGTATATATATATAATACAATTACTTGCTTCTCTCTTGCTTGACGGGTCTGTTGCAACAAGGGGCTTGTGTCTTGTGAATTAGATTGCGGCCGGTATCTCCACTGACTCCACTGTCTATCTCACTTAGCTCCAGCGCTCACTTTGTCTTCTCCCAATTCTCTTTCGGATCATCTTTTTACTCTCTCCATCTCTCTCCTCATGATGTCGCAATGCGCCTCCTCGGGTTGCAGCAATGCATACTTGACTCTTACATCGGTCCGAGAAACAGGATCAATCAGGTTGACTTCCTGGATATATCTTCCCGCAATTTCCCGCATATACCACCAAAGCCACTGTGCCATGTCATCACCATTCATCACCTTTATTTTTTTTGCTGAGCTTGTCTTGTTTTCATCCGGTTTCCGTAGCCTGAGGAAGAAAATCATGAACGCTGCCCAGACTGATGCATCGGTAGGCAAAGCTGTGTCACTGCGTTGCATGGATGCTTGAATCAATGGATGTGTTTGAGGGAAAACTTATAGAGAAAACAACTGTTGTTTTTTTAGCATCAAGTATTCGGGGCTTTCCTGTCAATTTCTTCTGAAACCAATTCCTGGGTTGAAAGGAACCTTGAGCGAGCATTCCGGTATACACGTTAATAATTGTGGAAATGGTAGGTAGCAGTGCAGCTGTGTCAAAACTGCGGCAGGCAGAAGCCAATGGCAGATAGTCAAGTAAAAACAAATAGTCGCTTCCAATGTAAAATCTATGTTCACTTGGACTTCTTGCAAAATCAAACTTTAACAACCCAAAGAAAGATGTGATACGGAGATTCTCCCCTAGATCCTACCAGACAAATCAATTTCTGCTGTACTTCAAATAGCATCTCTTACTGTTTGCCAGCTCTTCCTTCTGATGGCTGCCCAGTTCGAGGCTGGGGCCATTGTTCCAGGGTGACAAAGAAAAGACATCGACAGACGTCCGGTTGCCATTCGCACTCGTATGATCAAATTGAAAGACACGAAGTAATTACTCACAACCGGCACAGAAGAGCAAAGCTGATTTGATCAATATGTCATCATTTTCATCCTCGGTCACCAGACTTGCTGGTTGCATGCCTTGAAAAGCTCAGCGTTTCTGCAAGTCGTGATGGCCGCAAAATGGATCTTGAAATTTGAGAAGCCCTTAGCTGCCTTAGCTAAGCCCTTCATGAGTTTTCTGAAACGAAACTAACGACCATCAGGCCCGCTGTCACGGGCTTTGCAAACCGGCCATTTCCCTAGCAGCACGGACTACGGGATTCTCGGCACTTGATTTGATGATATTTGATGCGTTTTGTGCAGGTGCCATTTTTCAATGGTTTTTTCTGACCGTATGACGGCAACCATAGGATTGACTAGGATAGACTGCATCGCCAAAGTATCTGTCAACTGGACTGCTCAAGAATCAAAGGAACATGCTGCTGATCCTCTTCGCTGGCCATGACACCACAGGTGAGCATTCTTTTGAGCAGATGTAACGCACACTCAGAGACAAATCGGTGCTTCAAAGTGCTTGCTATACTAGACTTGCAGCTTCACCATTGTTAGTACAAGAGTTTACAGCGAAGTGGCTCGCCAAGCAATAGAACTTTGATGAACTTTGCAGGGCACACTATGACATGGTTGATGTTCGAGTTGGCCCGACATCCTGAAATCCAGAAGCAGGTGCAGGAGCATATTGATGCATATTGCATCTATTTGCATCTGGAGTGAATCAAAAGCTGTGGGCCTGGTGACTGCTGCGCTCATTTCAAACCATTGATCTACTCATATTTTTTGATGTTTTTGGGTGCTTTTCCTGCTATGATACGTCGGACGTTGTTCAAAATTTGTTCAATCCGTAATTTATTGTAACAATCCATCACACAAAATGTCATCTCCAATCCATATGGCCTAAGAGTATAATACCCATAGAACTGTCACAAGCCTAGACACAGATCCCAAGACGTGTTAGATGCCTTCAGGAGGAAGTAGATGGCTTCTTCGAATCCCTGAACGGACGTGATCCAACTTATCAGGACGGAGTTTGTGAATACCAAGGGTTACAAGACGTTACAAGATGTTACAAGATGCTACAAGATGTTACAAGATGTTACAAGATGTTACAAGTGTGCATTGAAGTTGGGCAGGTCAGACTTTGTGTAGGGAAAATCAATTGCGGGGGGTCAAATGTTCAAAACTGAGCACATGGTGCATGCAAAGGCGCAAAGACCAGCGCTGGATATGGTGTCTACAGAACCAAATACCTGTACAATCCTGTATATACATATGTAGCATAGCTGTCATGATGTATACTGTACTAACGACACGCACACTTTAGAGGTCTATGGTTAGCCATGACTTGTTCAGAGTCACCTGATGTGGCATGATACTCTTTCAAGAAGCCTCATGCAGCGCAAGATGTGATGGGCTGAATCAGCAGAAAGAAGTGTATATACATGCAGGCAATATAGGTGCTGTTCCGTTAAGCTGAGTTCCAGCTGCTTGGAGGACTTGAGTGGTTTTGATCTTCTGGACCGGTGCATCACAGAGCAACATGGTTCAACTAGAGCTAAGTGAAGGTCAAATATTCTCCCCGAAAGTATCCCGTGCAATTTCTCTCGTTGCGCCATCTATTTAAACCACCAAACAGCCTTGAATAAGTGAGGCAAGTCCACTTTGGCCAAGGGTAGCTGCTCCACTTTCACGTGCCACCGCGAAGGGGCCGAATATGCAACTTTAAAGGGGGATCCACCGTTTGCACTTTTTTGCTCTGGATTATGCCAGATTATGCCCATGAATTCGTGTCCGATGGGTATGTCCACAAGCTCTATTTCCAGGTGCATAGATGGCGCAGGTCCCATTCACATGCAAAATCCGACGGGGTATGCCCACATAGGTAGTTGAAGTCCTTCCCACCCCACAACAGAATGCCATAGAATGCCACGTAGTCATATAGCTGTAGATGGTCTTCTCATACCCTGAGACAAAACCATGGCCATACAATGGTTCTTTTTCGAGCAGCATGGACCATGGCACAAGGCCAATTGTTGTTTTTGAGGAGGGAGGCGTTCTACTGTTAAAAGCAAAGGATTCCACAGTTTTTGCTTTTAACGGTTTTGATTTTTCACGACACGCAGAAGGGGTGTGACTTGCAAGACCAGATGTGTTTCCATAGCTTGTTTGCTTCCTTTTCATTTCTTTTAATCGCATGCATTTTTTTGTTGCTGCCATTCCCTTCAATTCTTTCAGCTAGTGTTTCTTGATCCTTCTGCTCCACTTTGTGCTTGTCACAGAGTCTTTGCCTCCGTGTTTTTGTGTTCTTCGGAAGCAATCTCAAAAGCTTCGTTTCCCCCCATGCTCCAAGCTGCTCCAAGCTGCTCCAAGCTGGCCAAAGCCTTGTCAGTTCCAACCGATCTAAGGACCCTGCGCATGTGGCCGGCAGTTGCCAATGGCACGTTCCGCCAGTTGCAGCTCCTTGGCGCAGTTCCGCTTCCTTTTAGTTCTGTTTTAGACAGGTTTAGTGCTTGGTAAGGAGTTGGCAAGAAAAATCTGTCATGCTCATTCCCACAGGCTGGTCATCAATACAACAGACACACTCTCCAGCAAGTGATTTCGGCTCATCCATGTGTTCTTGGTTTCTCAATTTCAAGTCTCATCCTCCCGCGAAACTCTTTCGTTCTAGTACTGTGCAAGTAACTCGTAATAATATTTCTGGAGTGTTGGCATTTCAGGTTTGGTGATGAACTGAAGGGTGCTGGCGGCAAAGAGGCGACAGTGGTCGTGTTGTTTGTGCCATTTGATGGACTTGTCCTCCTCTCAACACATGTACCAATTGATCCTGGTCTCTACTTCACAAGTTTCACTATTTTCTGTGACCTTTAGACTTTGGACTAGGCGCCGAGGGTGGGAGACGCTAAGATATCCAAGAAATTCAAAGAACAAGAATATCCAAGACCTCAAGCCTGGTGAGTTCTAGCCATGTTGTCGTTCCAAGCTTATGTTATGTTTCAGTATCATGCCGTGAGCTGGTTGGTGCTTTTGTCGGGAAATCAAAACAAAGATTTGCAGACCTGCCTTGCTCCACGGATGCTATCAGGTTCACCTGCCAAAAGGCACCTTCGTGACAATTAGCAACTGGCAGCATTCTTAGAGAAGTGTTTCTGTTCGTATTGACGACGTGACAGAACCCTTGCCGATCTTCATGCCAAGATTCTTAGTTTGGTCAAATGAGTTCGGACGTAGAACCAATGTTCGGCTCCTGAGGTGTCGGCATCGCAATCCGGAGCTTTGGGGTGCTGATTCTGAGCACTTCAATCCTTGGCGGGACTTTTCGCAACAGGAGACTTCAGTCCTTTAGCTTTGCACAATGGCACAGCATCCTTTGCAATTTGTCGAGCACCTTTCGTTCATGATCGAAAGATATCGAAAGTATAGAAGGAGCTTGCACGCGTCGGCTGCCCAATGGCTGCAAAGACACCCCAAAGCCAGCGCTTCTCGCCCTTTGCTCACAACCCCCGTAGCTGCCTCGGAAAGAATTTTGCACAGATGGTGACGTGGCAGCAAAATGGATGGCAAAATTGGGGGAGGGACTTGTTTGTGCAACAAAAACTGAGGGCTAAAGTCCAACATGACCCTTCCTGTCAATAGCTTTTCTTGCTGTACCACTTCCAAGCCAGGAAATGCGGCTCATCCTTTCCCATATTTTGCACCGGTTCGACTTCTCTTTGGCTTCACCTTACGATGCTTTCAAAGATGTTGAGCTGAAGGCAGGTCACACAAGTCATACTGGGTACCACACCGCTTCTTCCTTCAGTCGCTTTCATGGACGTCATATTTGTTGTAAACTCGGCAGACGGGAAGGCTTTTGCACTGGCTGTAGTCATCGACATCGGACACTATTGGACTTCAGTTGAATGCATGAGATACGCACTTTGTGCAGCTGCCTGCAAAAGTGATTCCTGGATATTCCTGGTCATGTGTTGTTCATATCCCATATATATATATATCCCATTAATTAATCTCAGTTTGCAGGCTGCAGAGATGGATAGGATGAAGTTCCGCGGTGTGAATCTTGGTGGAACTATGGGCCCAATGGACCTCGAACGCGGAGGCAGAAGCCCAGCTTTCACGCTGCGATACTACTTTTGAAAAGCGTTTTCCGAAGATTCATTTCAAATTCTGTCACTGACATTTATTTTGTGAGGAATTCAGTTTCTTTGGACCATTTGCTGCTCTATTTGAAGGTTGTTGGCTTGAAGCTGTCTCAAAGCTGCCAAAGTTGTGTCATCAAAGCACCCCGACTGCAAAGGCTCTGTGTCTCCGGGAGAGCGCTTCCTGATTGCCATGAAACTTCATGTAAAGCCAAGGCTGCCAAGAAGTGCAGTACCATTGCTTAATTAGGCGGCTTGCTCGGCTGAATGCTGAGATCCCATCGGTCCATTGATAGCAGTACCTTGAAGATCCTTAAAGCCTTAAACGCATTTTGGCCTCGGAACAAAGCTGTTCTTCCCCACTTGTTGAACGAGGATGAAATGGATCGATCAGTACAAACAAATGCAAAATAGATGCAAATAGTTCATTAAGAATATTTAAGAATCCAACGCCTTCTTGTCTTCCCATGTCCAAGTCCCATGCTGAAGCAGTGTCTCCTCATTTGAAGTGATGGAGTGCTTGGCAGATCATCGCACGTGCTAGAAGATCTAGCATACTGCGACGTCTACCAGTCTTCTTTCCGGGGGAAGATCTGAGTAGCCGAACAAGAAGATGGGACAAAATCAACACATATCAACGCTATATAATGCTGTTTCTGTCAAACATGTATCGCATCAGACAGACCCACAACGCTGCAACATACCCTTTCAGGCTGTTTAGATGTGCCTGAAAGGGTCGGTTCCAGTGGCTTTGGTTAAAAGCGTTGCTTTCTGCTTGAGGATGAGGATGCCGTTGCCGCAATGTAGCTGTACAATGATAATACTGTACAAGACAAAGAGAACCTAAGAGAACCTCTAGCCCAGAGGAACGGGGTAGTTTCCACCAGAATGGTGCTATTGCAGACTTCAACAACTATCTGAATCAGATGGATCTATTGTTGTGATAGGATGATATATGGTGACATATGATGTGAAGTATGTATAAGATTGTATAAGCAACAAAGTGCAATTTACTTTTTGATCTTCAAACGTACTTGCACATGCCCCGAGAGATATGTGACAACAGTCGAGAGTCTACAACTGTTTTGAAGTGCTCACTCCTAAGAACCTTTAACTGTGTCCAAAACAACAAAGTCATAGAAGTCATAGAAGTCATAGAAGTCCGGACTGTAGGAATTCTTGGAGGCTTCTCAAGTGACCTTCGCACAGCAGTGTGCCAGGCTCCGCAGAGCAGAAGCTTTGACGGAGACTTGACGGCGGGTAAGGACCCAAGATATGCACTGTATTGACTCTGAGATTGACTCTGAGATTGACTTTGAGATTGACTTTGAGATTGACTGTATTGATATCTTAGGATCTCTTCATATCTCTTCGCATCCCAAAGGTTTGAATTCGAATGAAAGACTCAGCGTGGACCTCCGCTTGTCCGACAAGAAAACTTGTAAGAAAACCAATGCCACCAGGTCTATTTCTTCTGACTTATCTAGAAGCCTTCTTGCGATTTCTTGCGGAGTGTGGAGAGATTCCTGTTTTTCGGGAAGCCTCAAAGACGGTGGGATGAATGTTCCGATGAAGCAAGGTGCGCGACTAATAGATCTTTTCTTGGAGGAAAAGATGCTTGAAATGTAGAACTGGCCGAAAGCCTAAAAGAATAAAACACCACCTTTGCCATCCTTTGCCCGCAAACCAGACTCTCTAGGAGAATGAAACATGCCTGTGCAGGACACCCTGTATGAAAACTGTGACGGCGATTTCGTGAGTGATGGCGGCGAAGTTGCCTCACAGGCAAAGTGGTCCTGGTTGGTTTCAGGAAGTGCTGTTGTTTTGGAATGCCAACATTGCACCACGATGCACCACGATAAAGTCGGCGCTGTTGCTGCAAAGCTTTCTTCGTACTGCCGTGTGAATGCACTATGTTCTCTGCTCAATAGGTGTGAGGCTTAAGCACAGTTTCGGTAGTTCCCGCTGTCCCGGGTCATTTCGCCCTACCGATCCCTTCAGTTTTGCGATGGCGACAGGCGAGCTGGTTTTCACTCTCAACGCTGAAAGCTTTCTCTGTGTGTGGTTTCATTTGTATTGTTGTTTTGGACAAGAAACGATATGTTTTCGGCTTCATTGTTTGGTTTAGAAGCCCTTCTCTTGCAAGACTGATGCATCAATATTTGCTGGTGTGGTATGTTTTGCTTACTTTCACCCACTACTAGTGGACATGAGCACTTCACATGTTCAACTCATGGATATACAATGATATACATACATCCATATGTCACATATGTACGAACATTGTATGGTTATGCATATGTATATATTATATATAATATATATAATATCTATGTACAGTATGTACAGTATGTATATGATACATACCATGATGCCGCAATCCTGGAGGAACTGTGATGAAAGTCTCTGGCCCCTTGGTGGTCGCGGAGAACATGTCCGGTACCAAGATGTACGAGGCGCAAGAGAACATGTCAGAACAATGACCACTTTGCTCACGGGCTCCAAGACTTCCTTTGCTTGTTCTGTGGCGCAAGAGTCCCCCAATGTCGCACAATTTTGTAAGGTCTGGTCAGTCTGGTCTAGAAAGCACTCTTCACTCTAAAAAGAGCATAACCTCTAGACTCTAGACCTCTCCGGCGACTTGCTTGTGGTTTTATTGGAGCATGTTGGAGTATTTCGGACTGCAAATACATCAGGTCAACTTTCTGTTGGGGAGAGCTTGAATTGGGAAAGACACGGCAGAGCCAACCCCAGCAGTTGTGACATGTTGTAGCTTAGTACAGTGACCGCTCATCCTACATTTAATGTCCAGGTGGTGCGGGTCGGAAAAGATCGATTGGTCGGAGAGATTATTCGATTAGAAGGCGACACAGCCAGCATCCAGGTGTACGAGGACAAGAGACGCTGTGCGCATGCAACAAATCTTCAAAGACTCTCAAGGAATTCCTTTCTGTGCATTTGCTTCAGTATACTTCATTCCTGCAGCCAGCCAATTTTTCTCCTCTGATTTTGGCACTTTCAAGGATCTTACGGCCTGTAAAGATTCAAAAAAGATCAAAGAGCATTTTTCATATCCCAATAGTCAACAAAGAACTCTTGCAGGATACCTCTGGACTGACAGTGGGCGATCCGCTGGTGAAGACGGGTTTGCCTTTGTCCTTGGAGCTTGGACCCGGCATCCTTGATGGGATCTATGTGTCTTGGCGAGCCACTGTTGCCACTACGAGCTGAGAAAACCTGAGGATTTCAGTGAACATGTCCGAAGATATTCACATTGTCTCACTTTGCATTTTGCACTGAAGGAGACAAATATAGAAAAAGAGTTGACAGTAAGCTTCGGTGGTATCCCCAACGGCCGCAACATTTTATTTTTACAAATCTTTCTGAAGCGCGCTCGGAAGCCAAGCGCTGGAAACCCTGTTGAACCTGTTGGAACCTGACCTGGCCCTGCACCAAAGATTCCCAAAACCTTCTTCTGGACCTTCTCTGCAACCTTCTCCGGAACCCGTTGAACCTGCATCAAAGCCTCCCAGACCTTCTCCTGACCTTCTCCGGAACCCTGTTGAACCTGATCTCGGAACCTTCTCTGGAACCTTGTTGAACCATGTTGAACCTGACCTGGCTCTGCACCAAAGCCTCCCAGACCTTCTCCGGATCCTTCTTCGCAACCCTGTTGAACCTGACCTGGCTCTGCACCAAAGCCTCCCGGAACCTTCTCCGGATCCTTCTTCGGAACCCTGTTGAACCTGACCTGGCTCTGCACCAAAGCCTCCCGGAACCTTCTCCGGAGCCTTCTTCGGAACCCTGTGGAACTTGACCTGGCTTCGCAAAAAGCCTCCCAGACCTCTGGAACTCTGTTGAACCTGACCTGGCTCTGCACCAAAGCCTCCCAGACCTTCCTGGAACCTTTGGCTCACGGAACCTTCTCCGGAATCTCCGGAATCTTCTCCGGAACGCTGCTGAACCTGACCTGGCTCTGCACCAAAGCCTCCCAGACCTTCTCCGGAACCTTCCAAACCTCTGGAACCTTGTTGAACTTGACCGGGCGCCTGCACCAGTGCGCACTGGAGCTATTCTGGGCTGAAGACCCCATTAGCTTACGCTGTTGGGAATAAGAATGATATTCATTTCTGCATTCATTTAACTTTTGGGTCGCTGGGTTTGCCCAAAGACCCTGCAAGTGGCAAACTACCCGAGGATGGTATTCAACGCCCCTTGGAACGTATCCAACAGTTGGCTCAGAGTGTGTTTGTTCCACGTGGTGTGGATGTCCCAAATCTGGACAGAGACAAGCTACTTGGACTGCAAATGATTTGATCAGATCCACAGGATTTGAGTTGCTGCGAGGAAGAGCCTAATATGAAGTGCGGAAGTACTGATACACTTATGATTTCAATGGCTTCAAGCTGGCGAATGCCCGCAACAACTCTTCCGACTGTTCTCCTTTTCCAATGATTTCAGCATGTCAGATAGGAAACCTGCTTTGGTGCAAAGTGCGTATGAAAGAAACGCTCAGAGACGAAACACGCACTTTGGTGTGATTTCGATGATTCCGACGAATCTGGGAGCATCAATAATGGCATTAAAATTAAAGCCTTGCTTTGGACCTTTGGCACTCCAAGAGTCTTCCGTTATCTTCCGTTCTTACTCAGAGAGTGCTGTTGCTATCAACAACTCTGAACTCATTACCAATGTGGGACGAGATGGTCGCATTTGCCTAATTCAGGCTTTGGGACTACACTCCGGAGAACAACATCAAGGTGCGAGAGATGCTTCTGTCCCGACGAATCATGACCCGCATCTCAAGCCGCTTTCGCGGCTTTCGCATCAGTTTGCGCTGCTTCAGATCTGATTCAGGCTGGCGACCTCGTGACTGGCGGTGATGTGGTGGGTGTAGTCAAGGAGAATGGGCCCTTCGGCGTGAGAGTTTTGTGATGATTTCTGAGAACCCCGTCCTGGGCAATTAACGTGCAACGTCAGATGTCTTATTTAGAAAGAGTTCAGTTTCCAACGGTGGTGCTTGCTGGGTGTGTCAATCTGCGGTGCTGGGGCTGGTGCATCACGCATGCAAGACGCAAAACCGGAATGGGACCCTGGAACCCTGCATCCTGAATACTGCTGTTGTGTTGCAAAGCTGGATTGATTCTTTCTTGGCCGTTGTTTCTGTCCTGCGGTTTCTGGACCACAGTGGAGCTAGTGGTGCAATTCTATCGAACACATTCTCCAGACGAAAGATCTGTTCATCAATTTGTTGATCCCTTTTCTCAGCAAGGCTGTTCAAGAAGCACTACATCATGGTGCCCCCTGGAATCAAGGGCCGCCAGGACCTGAGGAATCTGTAGAGTTTGGAATTTATCATGAGACGATGAGACGCGAACGAATATCTGGAAGGGCATCCGGAACTGCCCCAGGTGTCAAAACTGTTCTGCCAGCTGGGAAGTACAAGATCGAGACTGCAGTGGTTGAAGTTGAAGAGGCTGGACACATTTGAAGAAAACCCTAGGTTCCCTCCTCATTTCCCTCCGCGTTTCCCTGCTCGTTTCCCTGCTCGTTTCCCTGGTCCCCTGGTTCCTTTCATAGACAGAGAGGGGGCTGTTGTTGAGCAAAGCACGTAAACAGGCACGCAGTCTTGACGTGTCTTGATTATCTGGACTGCAACGTGATGTCCTAACTCCCCCTGTTTTTCGCCAATTTTGGTGAAAGATTCTGAGGCTGGGAAAACCATGAGGGTTGAGCTCTTCCAGTGACTTGTCCTGATTGACGTGGTATGTTTGGATATGGGAATTATTTCTCCAGGATTGGCATCGACCCGTCGATGTGGACGGCACAATTTTTCCTGCGTTCCTTGTTCGAAGGCAAGAAGTACGTAGGAGTTGTCTTTCAAAACCCAACGTTGATATTGGGTATGCAGACGTATGCAGTCCTGGCGTCAGTTCTTAAATACTTTAGGATACTTTAGGATACTTTGGGTACTTTAGATACAAGGCCCAGCAGATGCCACCAGACATCACTAGACTGATTAGAATAATTGCAGAATCGTGAGACATTCCATGCCAGAGTGCCATCGCCATTGATCAGGAAGTGGCCCGTGCGCGAGTCCCGCCCTGTGGTGGAGAAACTCCAAGGAAAAGAGGCGCTCTTGACTTGCGAACGAGTCCCTTGAAACAAAAATGGTCATCCAGACCCCCTTTGATTTCAAGTTTGTCAGTAAACACACTTGGGAAACCTTGAGGAACACATGCAGGTAAGATTCATGACTTTACCGTGCAGCATATTATGTCATGATCCAGATGCAAGTTGAAACTTGAAACCATGTTGTAGATGAGCCGAAACAACCCAAGTCTGCAGCCCGTCCATATCAACTTCTCGGAAGTTTCACCTCGGAGAGTCTGACAGGAGCTATGATCAAATATAGATAAGTACATAAACAGTAATTACATAGGATTACTTTTGGCACCCTGAACTCTTCTTGTTTCACATTGCTTCACTCCATGTTTTGTAGCCAGTCCGGTCCGGCCCAAGGTCATTGATGCACTTTTCCCCGTGACCTTGGGTGGAACAGCAGCCGTGCCTGGTGCCTTCGGTTGTGGCAAGACAGTGATCTCCCAGGCGGAAAATG